GCTGGTTGCCTTCAAGGCCAGAGGTTTAATCCTCGTGATAATTTTAAACGTATCGTAGTGTTAGCAGTTCTCTGTACTACATACGGCTTTTTGTTAATATACGGCCAATCTTGGAGTTAGGCACTTGTTTATTAATCCAAAGTTAGTTTAGTTAGATTTTTAGTTAATATTTTTTATATTCTTACGTTCAGACCACAAGTGATTGGTCTCTGTATTCCGAAGTTCCGGAAATCATTGTAAGGATAGAAAAATAAAGGGTTTCGTATACCCTTCCTATGTGTATTGTCTACTTCACAATTTATTGAACATAGCTTTAGTAAGCTCCCTTTTCCGAGTCAGGACAGTTAATGTTTCCAAAGAAAGTAAGGAGGAACACTAATCCTGATAATATATATTACTTTTTTTCTTTCAAGTATTTAATCTTATGCGCACAAGTATGTGCACAAGGCTTCGAAATACGTAGGCACTAAAAAGTTTACATAGAAAATAACCTTTTATTATATTTCACTTGAGGTAGTGTAAATAGTTAATTAATGAAGAAAACTCTGCTTCTCTTCCTGTTTAACTATGATAAAACGTTTTTCATCTGTATTATTTTCATTGGTAACGATCCTATATTTTTCATTGATAATATTTGTATTTTCAGGCTTGTAGATGTGTAAGTTTAAACTTAATTTTACTTAAACTAAACTGTTTCTCATTGCCTTAACTATATCCAAAATACTCATTGAATACGACAAACGTAAAAATGAAACTAAAAGTTTATTTGTATTACGAATGGTAGATATAAGAGTTAAAATGAGACAACATAATCACCATTTCTTGCGTGGTCTAAAAATACAAGTTAGGCACGTACAAAACCAATAGTAAATTAAAACCCTAAACCTAGCAGCCCAATTCCTAATATGCATAATTATTTAAGTTATAAACATTACCAAAATCCCGAAAACATCTGAAACAGCACAGCCAACCAGGCGGGCAGGTTACAAAAGATTTCAACACCACTATTTGCGTTTTCAAATCTTTCTTTTTAACTTGCATTTTCGCTTGCTATTTAAAACCCACTTAATTTACATTTCCGTGAAACTGACTGTGAAAGCAAAAGTATAAAACAGACTTAACACAAAAATAAATATATGTTAATTTAAATAAATTTTACAGTTGTATTAAGCTGAGAAATTATAATGAAATATGAATTACTGAAACGTAATTGTTTCACTTATTGTGGCAAATTTCGAAAGGAGTCTATGACATTATTGGAAAGCGTTTGTAACGGATTTTGAAAGAAAGCTGATATTTATTCCCATTATACGGAAAGAAAATTTCTTTGCTGGTCTAAGAAACTTCAAGTTTAAAGATATAAAAACATGTACCTTACATAGAAATAAACTAATGGTTATAGTCTAATACATAAATATAACCTTACAATGTAACGATAATTTCAACCAGTTATATTTATTTCAAAAATTGTTAGAAATATAGATCAAAACATAACGATGCTTAAAAACTAAAGATAAACAAGTTTGAAGAGTGCACGTTTGTAATCAACATTTTTTTGCTTCAGTTACACAAAAAATATTATACTAATATCTAACGTATTAAATTGCAGTTTACAGTGAACATTTTTACTTTTAAACAGTACTGAATTTGTCTTCCTGAGAAACATCTAAATATTTTACCTTTCTGTCTGGATTTAATGTAAAAAAAAAAAAAAAAAACCCACGAAAGTTTCTGATCCCACACATACACACACACACACAAAAGCTATCAGGAATTTTAACTCAAAAATTCGTTTTTCTTGAAACCTTCATCAGCTGTTTCATGACATGACAAATTTTTCATTTCCTATTATAAAAGATTAAAAACCAGATATCAGATAAGCTAATTTTAGCCTGTAACACTGAATGATGTAATTGGAGAAGAAATATATGTAAAATCAGTGTAAAATTTAAAATTAGGAAAACGTAAATCTTAGATTGGCGTAGGTTTCTAATAAACTTCGGCCGATTTCGAATGCGATCAGGCATAGATATCTTTCCTTCTTCAGAAAAAAAAGAAAAAGAAAAGCCTTTTTTTTTTTTTTTTTTTTTTTTTCTACTCATGAAGAAGAAGGATCTATGCCCAATCTCCTGCGAAATCGGCACAGTTATTCAAAATCTATGCCAATCTAAGTTTGCTTTATGCATGATTTTAAACTAAATTATGTACTTGTTTGTTTGTTTACATAACGAACAGCACACGAGGACATTCTGCCTAAGGGATGGATTGGGTTATTGGATTCTGGCAAACATGTAAGAGCTATCTTGGAAGAAGAATGCCTTCGGAGAGGATTATTTAAGTAAAGCTAGCTCATTTTCAAGTTACACATGGAAAAAACTGTTTACCTTTAGACTGCTCTTTTGCTGGAATTTTAATCGGGAATCAAACAAACAGAGATTTTGCCGATGTTTGCCTTAAGAAAATAGGCCTTCGAAAGAGAAATTTTAACGGAAACATCTTCGTATATTTCAATTACACTTACAAAAAGCCACTAAAACATCCATGTAGCAGCCCATTCGATGGGATTCGAACCCGAACTGGACACTTTTGAAATTTACAGTTTTGAAAGATTTAACCACTTTGCGGAATATTATATACGCATCAAAATATACTTAAACGTAGTACGGGAAGGGAATTAAATTCTGTGTAAGTCAAAAGTGCGATAACATAAACATATAGCGATAATATGTTATGTAAAACATTATATGCATTCATTAAGAATGAAATTGAGAGACTGGTTGATATAGCCTTTGCCACCATGTCAGCCAAAATGATCTGTAAAACAGTTAGGAATATCAAAGAATATCTAGTAGCTCCAAGTGTAAAACTTCATAAATTATGAATGTATTAGTAGTGTCTTAGACAATTAAAAATAATATAGTATTGCTTCAAAACGAAAGAAACGATTTGTAAGAACTTAAGAAATAACCCGAATATTAATTCATGGGAAAAGAAGAAATTTATTTCAGAAATTAACAACACTGGCTCACTTCATTTTTTTTCCTCTTTAAAAGCCACTATATTTGGATTTAGGGAATTTATGGTTGTTGTACTAAACATCAATTGCAGGATGAAGATGAGACTCGTAAACTACCATCAGCATAAAAATAGCTCTAATATTCTCTAGGATTGCCCCATCTGAAAAGAAGCAGAATAAAAAACAGAACTTCTTGACCTTATCCATGAAGTACAATAATGGCTTTTAAAAAGCCGATAAAGTCTTTCGATCGTTTTACTTTATAGATTAAATGCTGTGATCCGAGAAATCATGGAACCAAAAAAAATTAGGTAATGCTTTTAATAGAACACGCTCAAACTGAGGACTTAATTCCCACGCAATCGTTGAAAATGCACGCAATCGTTAGATCCAGCTGTTCAGTAAAAAGGCCAAGGTTCTTGGTTTCTATTAAATTTTCTTTTGTATTAATTCGACATATCTAGGTTTCTCACAATTCTTACTTTTATAACCAAAATTATAAGAATTGGTTCTTGTCTTTAATACGTTTTTAATCAATTAAGAAGTAAATTTGAGTATAATGTAAAATTTATTTCTTTATTATTGTCAATATTTTAAGACAATTAATAACGTCCGAAGTTACTACACAAATTTACAGTTTTCATTTAGTCCTTTAACTAACAAGCTGAAGTATCTTAAATTTTAACAATACAGTTCAAGAGACACTAGGTATTTTTTGAAAGCAGGAAAGATGAAAACTGACCAACACCTTCGCCGGGAACCGAACCACGGACCTCTGGAATACGCGCCCAGTGTGCAGACCACCACACTACGAAGGCATGCTAGGAAGGTGGGAGAATTAAGCGCCGCAATACCGAGGACAATGTCGGCGATTAATTCAAAATCTTAATTTATCCGACAGTATTTAAAAAATACAGTAAAGAAGAAAGTAAGAACCAAACTATAATTAATAGACAAATGCTGCTAACATTTTACCTATATATTCAAGCAATTTAATATATAGAATAAATCCATGTGGTTACTTGAATTAAATCAATGCTAAAAACAAATAGAATGCACTGTAAATAACAGAAGAATAAATATTATTACAGATGAGATACGGGATTTTAAATAGTACTAGAGAATAATATATGCAAGAAAACTTGAAAAACGTCACTGAGTTTAAACCTGGGTAAAAAAATGTCAACTGCGTATTTTTGATAGATCTGGTAGACATTATTTCCCTCATTGGTATTATATCATGCAATTTTATTTTCCTTTTCATATTTTATGTAGAGACTTTTGTTTTATGCTATTGATTTGTGGTAGTGAGGTAGTATGTTTTTCATCGTTCCGCAATAAACAGATAAAAACTACCATATCTCCTCGTGCGCCCTCTGGGGGTGTAACTAGTAGTAAGTCCAGCTAACAACCGGAAGATTCGCGGTTCGTTATCATAGCAAGGGCATGATTGATTTTTACAAACTTTTACAAATAAACTATACAAACTTTTGTTGCACAGAGCCGGTTTAATCATCGACTGACTGTACAACTTAATAAATATAATCCCTCCATTTTTGCTTCAGAATTACGTGTCCTCCTTCATTCAAAACTACTACTATGTTATAGTTGCACTGACGATATCATTTTCAGCTACAAATACTAATTAATTTACATAAATTTTACTTAACAGGATGTTGATGTTAAAGCAAATGGCGCGCTTGCCGGCGTCATGGATTCCAGACATGTTAATCGTTGTTATAATTCATTCCACCCGGATCAGGCCCATTCTCGAAAACAAACCCAGAGTTGCGAGAAGCGATGAAAATGAAATCTATCCTCTACTCGAAATCAAAAACGCGAATTCAAAATAAAACAAAACAAAAAAATTCAGCGGGAGAGAGACAGTCTTTCAGATAAGCGATTTTCGTGTCGAAAACCTCAATCTGGCTGCTAATCGAACACCAAAGCGATAACTGAGAAGTGTCCGCCAAGTGATTACACTGTGGATTATGAACTTCGTACTTTTCGTAGAAATATGTTAAGATTCCATCCACGTCATATAATATTGCTTGTATATGACGGGTGCTTCGTTTTTGTCATCATCGGAAGCAGCATAGTTTTCCCAACTTTTCATGGATTCGTTTAAATCATGTTTAAGTAAGTCAATACCCATCCTCATATCATTGATACATAAACAATAACAGTCATAGCCATTTTTCAATTGAGATTTTTAATAAAAATATGTTATAGTTATACTTAGTATGGTATGCCCTTCAAGAATTTCAGAATCAAGGTTTATTTATTATTTCTAATATACTTCGAATTATTATGCTTATTTGGATCCTTTCATCCATTTCACTGACATTATTGATTGCATTTTATCTTATAACTGTTACAATCTTTTACGCAAATAAGAGATTACATTTCAAAAGTGCTCACAAACTTAAAATTGTATTTATGGTTCTGTAGAACATATTCAAATTTCATACTATATCAGTTAAAGAACTACATTTGGCATTTAATTTCATCTTTATCTGAAATACGCATTAAGTACATGTGCTTTATTATCTTTATTTACAACAAAATGAAAGAAATTTCCGCCGGAATAACTGAATGCTTTATATAGTAATTAACGCATTTGTAACTTTATACACAGATTACAGATAAAATATGCAACCAAACTGAAAAAAAAATATATCTCTATTTATTTGTAATCCAAGTTATCCGAATCCCTTTTTCTTCTGTTTAGCTAAGTAAAGTAATATTAGTTTGTTCTCAATTTACTTACTTATTTCGTTCAGCTGATTTAAGTAATTTAAAATAAAATGTACTCCTTTCAGTAATTATTAAATTAATCTAGATAAATGTGTACGATACGCAGAATTTTATTTACTTTTTACTTAAACACATATAAGCAAAGCAATTTGCGTTACCTAACAGAAAAATAATTTCTTTGATTAATTTTAATAAAAGTAAAACCTAAGCCGATGTTTATCCGAATCCAGTTATCCGATGTTTATCCAGTCCAGTTATCCAAATTATTTGCATGTCTTAACTGGCTGCGGTCTGAGTTAGTTCATTTATGTGAGATTCCTCTGTAGTTACGTAATTAAAATTAGCTTCAAATCAATTAACTGCATTTTGTTAGATGAGTTATTAACACATAGAAATAAAGTTTTGATACTTTTTACTCTATATTTGTCAGTTCATAATAAGACAGTCGAAACTCTAATTTGAATTGCTGCAAAATACATAGTAATTATCTTAGTATGAAACTTAATGCAAATTTTGATTTTAAAAAAGATGTTAATCTAAATATTTAACTTGAGTGTATAAGCTGAAAGAAAAAGCTGCTCAAAAAAGTATTCAGGAAGTGAGGCCACTCAAATAGGCCTTTCGCCCTTGCATACATTGTTCCTCCCAAATTCCAGTCTGATAATGAGAGCAAATATGATTGAATTGTTTTACTAAAATAACTCATTTTTCCCATTTATTTTATCATTTGATTCCAACACTTAACATTTTGCTAGTTAGAGATTAATTTCATTCATAGACATTTTTATAGCTCCATCAAATATTAAGATGCCAAAACGCTACTTGAAAACTATGGAATTAAATCGAACTCTTTTTAAGACGGCAATGTAGTTCCAAGTGATTTTGGTCTTCGGTGAAGGAGGTCTTCGTCAGTAAAAGATGATATTCAATGCCAGTGTTTATTTACATTCTAAGTAATGTTAGTCACTTTCAGAGGTAGCTAGTTATCTTAAAATATAATGCAAGAAATATTAAGATCCAGATGTGAAACTCGTACCCCATTACCACTGGTTATAAAAAAACATTCATATCAGAATCTTTAATGAAAATTTTTATTTATAACAATTTAATTAAGCATTTATTTATTAAATTTTACATTATACATTATACTAAAAAGTCAGTGATGTAACAGCTCTAATGGGCCAATGCCTGCAGTGCCTGAAATCTGCTTTCTTGACCGTGGGTTCCGGGGTGCTTATTCATATGCTCTGAACAAGTGGTCAGCTTGTCGCAGGACCCTCAGTGTTTAATCTCCAAGCGAACTTGGTACTCATTTTATCCACTCAAGCGATGAAAATCAATGGATGAAAGGCTGAGTCAACCTTGTCCAGCCCGGGAATCGAACCCCAGACCTGTGATGCTACTGCGTCACAAGACCTCTTACATTATACTAAAACTTTTAAATACTTCTAACTCCAAGGATATAACATGACATGAGGGACAGCAACTATATGAACAAACCCTTAAATCATTTTTATTACCACAGACGCATGATTTTTTCAATCATAGTAAAGATAATAACTGTACTAAAAATGCCTTAAATCACCTCTATTGAGAGAGACATAACTATACTAAAAAGCTCGTAAATCAACTTTATTAAGTTTCAAGTACATTTTGTACAATATTCTTTTAAATGCATTTTAATTCTAGCTAAACCATTTTCGATGTGTTGTTTATTCATCTTCAGATTTCTTTCTCTAAATATTCTTTTTCTAACAAATTGGAATAACATTTTGACAAGCAATTTTTTTTCGATTTTTATAGAAAAAAATAGTGAAAACTTCTGTTACGTGTATTGCTATAATTTTTATTTTGTCTACTTTAATGAGAATATATTGTCTCAGTCACTTTTACTGAAGGAATTTTAATGCACTAGACTTGCATCTAGTGCCAAATTAAATATTTTAAAAGCCAAATATTTTAAAATTTAATATTAAAATTAAAATATTTATACTAAATTAAAATATTTTAAAAGCCAAATTATTACAATCGTTTGACCCAAACTTGCATTTTCGAAAAGATATATTTAATTCAGAATTTTTATTAAAAATTAAAAGCATTTAAAAATTTAAAAATTAAAAGCATGAACCGTTTTAAACCAAATCACACTGTGCAGTAAGAATGGTATTTTCCTTACTAATTAATTAAATGTTAGAAGTTAAAAAAATTAGTAATTAATTAAATATTAAATTTACGTATTAATTCAAAGTCTTGAATAAAAATTGTGTAGAATATGAAATAAATATATTGTTAATTGTTATTTTATTTCAATTTTAAGAATTTTGTGTTCATAAACACGCCTTCATAGTTTAGTTAATAAAATAATCGTACTTCCAATAAACTAGCAATTTATGACTTTATAACTTTCATTATTTCCACTGAATTCACCAAATCTCTATAACTAAAAGGCTTTAACTTTTAAAGGAAAATAATTCAGAATGTAAATATAAACGCAACTGTCAACCCGGAAAGAACTTTTATTCTGATGAATGCATTTCGTAACTGAATACCTACTGTGTAAACTTTTCTTTTAAATGAAACTTCGGTTCTGCTTAGTACTACAAATACACTTTTCTAGCCTACGTAATATGAACATAACATCCGGAAAATGTAATCCATTTAAAATCTAGATTTCTTTTTATCGAATAAAAATGAGATTTCTGGATTCGGAAAACTTGATCTGCTGTTCACGATATTATATGAAATTGCCTAAATGTCTGATTAATTGGATTATGTGAGAAATAGTAAGTTTCAGTATGCATTGATTTTACTCTTATTTCTTGTTCCTTTCTCAATCCTATCGTCCATTCTAAATCTCTTGACTTGCATTTTTTCACCAGAAATTAATATAATTGAGATCAAGTAACAGAAAGCTTTATTGTTCTATCAGCATCTTGTGCATCAAAAAAAAATTGAAAAGTAATTTGATAATCGTTTTTGAAATTTATAGAAGTAATGAAGTAGTAATTTTACTTTAGAGCATGAAGGCTGTTAAATTTGCTATCTGCTAATAGCTTTTTTTAACTATATGAAAAAACATGGCTTTGATAAACAATCTGCTAATCTATTTAACAATCTGTTATCGTCCATAGAAGTTTAAACTAAGTCTTTTTAAAAGTCTTCATCTTAATTTGATTCCATAAAGATATTCCTATTCATTACGTACTTCATAGGATTTATATTTATAACAATAGAGCTGATTTTTGACTGAATTTTCTTATTAATAAAAGTCATTAAATGAATACTGAACTTATAAATGTACTAAAGTGATAAAATTATTGCTAGACTTGTGAACATTAATTATACATACTTATGCCTTTCATGTTTCTAAAAAAAAAAAAAAAAAAAAAAAAAAAAATTATAAATTATAATCAATTATAATTTAATAATTTAATCTTCTTTGTAGTACCTAATATACATAACATAACAAATTCAAAACTGGACAGAGTTCTTCCGTTTAATTGTTTTCTCGGAATATGCAGTATTTCACACCACGTAATCCAAAAAGGTATTGAGTATTTATTTCTATGCCAAAATTGCTGTCATAAGTGAAAGACTTCAACTTTTAAAGAAAATAATCCTCAATGTAAATCTAATCCGGAAACAACTTTTTTCTGATTAATGTATTTCGTAACTTAATGCTTAGTGTGTAAATTTTTCTATTAAATGAAACTTGTTTCTGCTAGTCAAGGGAAAAAATAGTTATAACAGTTATTTACAAAATACTTAATAGGTGATTTAAAATATGATGGATTCTCTAGTTAGGAAAAAAAAGCTTATATATTGAATTATATATAAAATTAGTAGTGTAAAGAATAGCGGAAGTCATTTTTTATTTATCCGTATTAAAGTGCGTTCCGGAAAAGAAAGGAGCAACTACACTGGTTACATGCTAAGCAATGAAGATAAATTTGTAAATGTTTTAAGGTGCCATGATACCATCGCTTCATTTCTTTTAAAATAATAGCATTTTGAGTAAACTGTTTGAAGTGTTTTAAAAATGGCACTTCATTTAACAAAGAACGCTAATAAAAACAAAATATTATGCTTTTATAATTATGATGTCAAAAGAAGCAAGATTGTTGCGTTAAACATTACAAAAGTAATCAAATATCAAAAACATCAGCTTGCATATTTTTAAAATTGTTTGAGATTTATGAAAATGTTGATAGCCATCAATACTTAAGAAAAGATGCCAATATGTCATGGAATTGGTTGAACGGAAATTCTTGGAGAAACCGGACATATCTTTTTGTCAAGTGCCTCCTAGAGTTTAATGTATTGAAATCAATTGATCAATTAAGGAAGACTTATGCTTAAATTGTATATTAAAAAAAGTCTTTAAAAGGTTAAAGTAAAAAAATTCCAGCTTCTTCTCCTCCAAAATAAACTTTAAATTCTTAAGCAAATACTTCCATCCGTACATGGAAGGATTATGTGACGTATTTCATTTTATACCTTAATCTCAGTGATGTCATTAAGTATTATAATTTAATATTTTTCTAGTTCTGTCGCTTACGCACTTCAGGATAAAACCAAATTCGCAAAACAATTCTTGGTATGGCAGGTGATAGATTAAAAGAGCAATGCTCTTAAACCTGTCTTTTTACAGAGAACTACAAATAGTTCTGTTTATTTAAATCAATGAATTTCGGAAAGTTTTACTACGAGTACGTTTATCAAGCATCGTTATCAGACTGAAGATATTTTGTTTCGGCCGGACTACAAACCACTTTAAAAAAATGCTAATAACTATTTGAATAACTAGGAAAATAATATTCCGTTTAAATTTATAAATGCTTCCAACGTACCCTAAGCATCAGGAACCAAAATTTTGCGAACATTCTTAAAAGCAAGCTTATGAACGAATTGAAAATGTCTGAACAATAATTCAGTTTAGTAGACTTGTTAAAGTCAATTTTTAAAGAAACAATATAATCGTTGTTAAGCTAGTGAAATTTTCACAAAGCAAAAATATAATTTATCTGACAATTCAAAGGTTCATATTGAAATATAACTAAATGTTTTAAGTTTTAATGCTACGTGACTTGGAGTTATCTTTAAAATACTGTTGCGTTCGCATGGGCTTGTAATAGATTGAATGCACACAGGTCAGATGTTAGGACAATAAAATTTATTTTATCAAAAGCAACTCTTCAAAGTTCTGAAATTTACCACAAAAATACTCGTACAAGTGTTTACAGTATCACAGAGAGTACCAGCAGTAGTTCCACTTCAAACTACTAAAAACGTTAAACACAACTCAATGTAAAGAGCACCTAAAGAGCGAAGCTAACCCGGAGACATTTCAGTTCGCGTTGAACTAACAACTCGCAACAACAATAACTGAACAACTAACTGACAGCAGATGCTCTCTTCGGCCTTATATAGTTTTCAACCGGCCGCCGAGATACTTCTAGGACTTTCTGCTTCTCGAAATTACTGCAAAGACTATGAGGGTGGAATTACGGTTGCAGCTAATATAGTGATCAATTACATTTATTCAATTACAATACCTATTACGGCGATACAGGGACCAGACCGAAATGTCATCAAATGGTCACCAAGTTTGGCGACTTTCGTCGATTTCTCGCCAAATTACCGAGATACCCATTTACTCAATGTTGAATGGACTTGCCCGTGTATTCTTACTTTTTCAACATAGCTCTTTACATTTTTTACGTTACATCACACACAAAAGTACAATTTCATATATAATTACACTAAAATCATCTATCTCAAAATTCGTAACAATACCTCAGATTTATCTCATTTTTATCTGGGACGCCCTTTAAAAGAATATAATATTTTCCTTTCCATAAAACCCAACTCAAAAATTCCTATAATTTGACAAACTGAGATAAGCAAATTCATAACTGACTTTTGGACAATAGACATCTTTAGGCTGCATAAAATATATATTTAGAATTTCTGCGAATCAGTGAAGAAAAATTAAATTGAATGAAATGCTGCATAAATGTGCGTGATAGCAGACGAAACGAAACTTTCGTTCTGGAACCATTGCTTTCAGCTTGTATAAACAAGACGGGGAAGTATTTCCTTATGATTTACTTTAACAGCACCTGCGCGCTTGATATAGGCTTTCTTTCGCTCACATATATTACTAATGTGTTGCACTACTACGTCTATTTGCATACAGAATTACACCAAGCCAGTTTGCACAGTTGCAGCCCGCCCGTGACGGATTTCTAAATGGACAATGAAGAGTAATAAATACTGAAATGCCATCTCGAGCAGTCACCAATGACGACAACAGATATATTTTTTCTGATTTTTCGACCTTTCCCATATTGTGAAAAGGTTTCCGCTTTTCCATATTATTCTTCGTTTGAAGAGTAAGTAAACCTGATAATGGATCATATACATAAGCAGTGCTTTGTTTCGATTGAGATTGTTTTATGTGTAATTTATGGAAAGTAGAATATTTTTTATAGATCTCGAAAACTTTAGAAGCTGACATCGAGGCTAGTGGTTTCTATACCATTTTTTTCTCTCAGAGTTCTGCAATATGTGAGAAAGAATTAAAGTAGCCATTTGAGAGTAACTATTCGTCTTCATATATTCGAATATATGAAAGTAATGTTTTTATTTATATAAAAAATGTTCTATTGTAAATTCTTTGACGCACTATTCAATATTTTTTTAGAAAAAAGTAATGTATAGTAGTTAACATTCTAAAACAACTGAAGAACTGTAGATTTTTCTTTAATTGCTTTTTAAAAACCGATTACTTGAAACTTTCAGAACTGATCTAATTGTTGTTTACTTATTTTTCAGCAATACTTCATGAAGATTACTTTAAGATTTATGAGAGTGATGGCAGATTTTATTAATCTGACGTAGCTGTGATATATGCTAGAAAAACCGGAATTCATCATTGCATAAACTTTAGAAACCTTTAATAATGTTGATGCCTTTTAAAGTAATATCAGCTTTCAGTACATTAAGAAATTTTCTTTAAATATGTACGACGAATTTTACGTGTAGAAAAATGAAACTGAAACAGCGATTGGTCGTAAGTCTGATGGCAACTGGATTGATTTCCATTTTTATGATCTGTTTATTTTCTTACGTCTATACATCTAACAAATTAGTTGATTTGGACACCTCGACTCCACGCACATCTGTTAAAACCTACACACCTCTCAAACGAGCAATATTTGAAGAACTCCAGAAAATGAAGCCTGAGTTACGCAAGCTAAAAAAATCTCGAAAACATAAGAAAAAACGCAAATCATTTATACAAAAGGAAATAGTTACGGATAGCAATCGAGCAGCAGAAGTGGACCTTGGTGAAAAGGAAAATGTAGATTTATTGAAAAGAGATTTAATATCCAGGTAAGTGTTTTTGAATTTTTTCGTTCCAATGTTCAGTGTAAATATTTATATAAAGTATTTCATAAATTTATTCCTTAAAATGTAATTTATTACAGTTTATTAGCCTTAAACAATACGCTTATAAATTAAAATTTTAATAACTCTGAGTCTTTATAATTCATAAATGTATTAACTTGTACTACATATTGGAAGAATATAGTTCTATAAAATAAAATGAAAAAGTATTTATTTTTAAGAATATTTTTAAGCACATACCTTAGGTTTCATTTCTATGAAAAGTTTGAGACTAAGTTTCGTTTATTTATGTTTGGTTCTTCTTAATTATTTGTACAAACTATAAATATTAGAAATACTCTGCATTGAAATTTAATACAGCTTCCTAGAATTGTATATACGGGAATTCCTAACTATACGCGTTTCTGAATTATAATATATAATCCAGAATCATATATTCCTGAATTATATATATTCTTGAATTATAATGCATATATATATTTGAATTACATATATTCCTGACTTATTATATATTATCTGAATTGCCTATATTCCTGACTTATTATATATTATCTGAATTACATATATTCCCTGAATCATATATATATATACACAGTCACAGAAATACGATTTCTTAAATTATTTTTAACCAATTAAAACTTCATTTTTAACAATGAATTCATTTTGGGAAAATCATTTTGCCTTGAACAAATACCTCTTTTCATAAAAATAACGTTCTAATTTTTTAAATACCGTATATACCCGTGTATAAGTCGAGATATTTTGGACAAAAAAAAGACTTCAAAGTGGGGGGGGGGGGTTGACTTATACGTGGGGCCATAAAAAATTAAAAGAATCGGAAGTTCAAAAATTTCTTTATATAATGCAGTTGTTTTCTTCCCGCGCTCAAATTGGACGACTTATCAAATAAGCCACTTACTTGAAGTAATTTCATGACTTAAATTATGTGACGAACTAATCTCAGAGTTTCATACTTTAACTAGAATACGTTTCGATTAAACCAAAGAATTTTCGGCCCCCGAACAACCGATCAATATCGAGCAATAAAAAAATTTCGCCAACACGTCAAGAAAGAGAAATGCAGATAGTCATTTTAAAGATCGTCCGTTGATCATTTTTAAAAGAAAAAACTTTACCGAAAAACGTTTTGTGTTTCCATCAGGTGTGCTGGTTCGCGCCTATGAAAAGGGATGGATGGATGCTGACGGAACAGTCGATTGGCTTAAAAATGTGTGGGATAAAAGACCGGGAGCAGCTTTCAGAAAACCTTCGCTTTTAGTATATGATTCTTTTCGTGGACACTTTTCTGAAGAAATGACAAAAGTGACAAAACACCTAAAACCGACTGTGGTCGTAATTCCGAGAGGATTAACATCCGTCATTCAACCCCTAGATGTCTGCCTCAATAAGCCCTTCAAAGTAAATGTTAGAAAATATTGGGCAGAGTGGATTAGTTCCGGTCGACCAATATTTACAAAGGGAGGCAACATTAAAAAGCCCGATATTACATTAATTGCTCAGTGGGTTAAAGATGCTTGGAACGAAATACCCTCTGAAATGAGTGTAGTAGTGATTGTAACAGAGTTCGAGACTAAAAATATGTATGACGAGCCAATGACGACAGAAGAGTTCTATGAAATGTTTGGCGAAATCTGACCATGAATCGGACGTTGAAGAATTTTGATTTTGTTTATTTACCAAGGTATTTTTTTTTTCGCATATTTACTTTTTTCCCTCAGATGATTTTGAATAAATGTAGTACTTAAAAATTTTTTTTCGAAGTTTCTCGATCGATTTCGGAAGTGGGGGGTCGACTTATACGCGGGTTCCTTATTTTCTACGAATTTTTTATGTCGAAGTGGGGGGTTGACTTATACGCGGTATCGACTTATACGCGAGTATATACGGTATACGCTATCTGCCTAAATATGTTCCACTTTCAAAAGCTTACTTTGAAGTCTATGGAAACTAATATTCCTTTGGTAAAATCGAGGATAACTAAAACGAATACTCGTTTTGTAAAATTTAAATGCATATTTTTAGTGCATTTTTGCATGAATAGTACATAAAATGCTCTCGCTTCCTGCACTGAGCATGCCAGAGCTTTAATGTGTAGTGTTCCTCACTTTGGAATTCTAAGTTAATGTTGGAAGTGAGGAATCTAAGAACTGATAAGCGAATAATCGCTTGCGTTCGGTGACAAGAAACAACAAGATAGAAGAGTTACTAACCCTTTATTATTCCAATAAGATTTAACAAAACTCCGCCTGCGAGTGTACAAGCAAAGCCCGCACTTGGGCTTGAACTTAAAGACTATGAATTAAACTAAAACTAAGATTAACTAAAGAAGTATAGCCGAAGCTATCAAGGTTCAATTAGAGTTGGCCCTAACTTATTTTACTACGAAGCTTTAGCAAGGGCCTGAGTACGGCGGAGCGTAATAACAGCTTTGAGAGAGAGAGCGGCCAAAAAGGCAGACGCGCGTAAATCAGAAACTCTGATTCTCTCTGACTCAGTAAGTAACTTCGTGGTTTAAATACCGCTCCTCCTCATTAAATACTCAGCAAATTCCAAAACTACGTTCTGGGCAGAAGTAGTAAGTTGAAGTTAAGAATTTGACAGGAAAGGAACTTTAACTTAAAATTTAACTGTTAATAAAATTAACATTACAAGTGTACCAAAAAAAAAAAAAAAAAAAGAGAGAAGGAAAAGAAAAATGTTAAATATTTTATACTTAACATACTGCTTTAATACAAGACAATGCTTATATATCGTATTTTTCAATGGTAAAAAATCAGGCTTAAAAATAACTATATCTTTCCAATTTTCATAAGAGTTAGGCCGCATTAGGCGGTCAGAATATTTATCATCTATGCAGCAAAAGTTTCCTTCTAAATTTTAAGATGATTAGTTTATAACCTACACTGTTTGGCAAATTATCAGATTTCGAAACCATACCATTCGATGTGGCATGAGTTCTCGAATCTATCCTTGAAATTGATACTTAATGCAGCTTTAATGAATGAAAGATTTAAATGCAGGGCTCGCATTATTTTAATTCTTAATTTTTAATAACATTTATAATCTATGCAATTTATGACTCATCTAATTCTTGTGAATAATGATGTATCTAAATGATAGTTTTTATAAACATTTACATTATTATTGCTATCAACCAAAGGCATTTCTAATGCCATAAAAATCCCACTTATCAGTAAATCGATCAATAATTTATGTGTTGTAAAAGTTCTAAGGATTTTATTTGTTATACAAATATTTCCAGCTTTTTGCATAAAATATTTTTGTTTTCTGAAAGTAAAGAACACCATGGTAGTCTGCCTCGAAATTTGCACTTTTTCTATGAGACGAAAGCCATTTTGAAGATAAATTTTGCTTCATTAAATAGCACGATTTTAAAGAAGAAATATTCGGCAACGAAATTAATTGTCGATATCGTCAGGCAAAGGAGGACAGCTTCGAGAAATTATATTTGCTCATACTCCAAAAATACGGTTCATCACCGGCCATCAACCATTGAACAATGGTAATTAGGTCCAGGGTTCGAGTTCCTCCGACAAGGCTGACTGCACGGAGGCTTTCGTGGTTTTCCCCATGTGTAACGTAGATATGAGCAAGTTTCCTTTAAAAGTTCCTCCACGCGGCATCATTCCTGTGCCGTGCAGTGCCTAACGGCGGAGTATGTTTTAAATAAATAATATAAATAAATAAGTAGTAATAATAAATATTATAATTAGTATAATAAATAGTATACGTAATAATAAATAATAGTTAATACGTAAGTAGTGTATAATTATTTAAATACAAAAATACTCTAACAATCGTAATAGATAATTTAAAAATAATAGGAAAAATTCGAAATTCGCTGATTTATTCGATATTCAAGGAAAACTCTAATATTTGCAAAGTATTACAAAATTCCCTAAATTTTTGCTGAAACTTTTATAAGGTATTTCTTCCGCCTTCTTAGTATTCCCTCGTGATGTAATGGTCAGTACACTCGGCGCGTATTCGAGAGGTCTAAGGTTCGAGTCCAGGCGAGGGCACTGCACATTTCTCATGTCTCCTGCTTCGAAATAACTTAAGGACTCTACAAGGGCGCTCAATTAAAAGTGTTGGTGGATGATGATACTTCACCGCCAGGATTTGGCGACTGGGTCCCTTAATCCACAGTCGCCCTTTAGAAGGGGAAGTATATAAGGTATTTCTCCAGCCTTCTTAGCATGCCTTCGCGGTGTAATGGTCACCACACTGGACGCGTATATGAGAGGTCAGAGGTTCGAGTCCCGGCGGAGGCATTGCACATTTGTCTCCTGCTTCGAAATAACCTAACATCTACACTGTTGTGGTAAATGCTTAGTGATAAGTATTAATCTGGAAGATCATGGTAATTTAATTAAATTAGAAATCTTTTCTAAATTCATCTTAATTTGCGCTATTTCAAGTTCTTACATATTCACCTTCTAAAATAACAAAGCAAAATTTTTGTTACTTTTCTCGAATACTTATTAGAGGAAAGTGAAACTGAGGCATTGCCTTTACGCACCTTCTGATATACCCGTATGAAACATTTTGTATATGTGCCTATCTTAAACGTTTGCTTCTTTATTAAAGGCAGACAAATGTTCATAAGGAGATAACGGTATTACGCGATAATGAGCATGATCTCAGAAGAGGAAACATGGAAGATTGCACCAAATTGGAAAAAAATTCTGAAAACGATGAACGAGAAAAATTTCCAGATCTGATGAAGCATTTAACAGATATGTCAGAAAAGTATGACAGCTTACTTTCAAGAAATGATTTACCATTAACCATAGGAGAAATTTATGGAATTGATGTGAGGTAACTATTTATTTGCATATTTTTTTATTTTTTTCCTTTACAAAATATTTCGTTAGCTCACTCTCATTGAAAATTGAAATCTCATTGAAATCTCATTGGTGAAACATTCTGAATGTGCACCGGAATTCACAATTATCATGAAATATTTTGTCTATGCGCCAGAATGATGTTCATTTAGCTTAATCTTCTGTTTCGTTATTAAAAGTAGACAAATGTTCACAAGAAGACAATGCTCTCACGTGATGATGAGAATGATCTCAGAATAGGAAATGTCAACCAAATTATAAAAAATTTCTGAAAGCGAATTAAAAATACCTTTTTAAAATTAAAAAATTTCTAAAATTTTAAAAGTATCTTTAACATGCCTCGTTATCTTGTCATGCATATGCTTGACTACACCAAAAGACTGATTATACTTCAGAAATAAATAAATATTTAATGTGATAAAAATTTACTACATTTGGTAGAATTCCAGTTACCTTCATTTCCCATAATTCCGGATGATAGGATAGCTTTTTCTTCTTTCAAAGTTATGAGGAATTAAACTTTATTTTTCAAACACTTATATTTAATTATTTGATGTTAGAAACTTCGGTAATTGGATATTAGTCAGCAAAAGCATCATTAACAATCTATTGACTATTGGTGATGAAATATACTTTTGATGTTAGTGAATGGTTAAACAACGTTAGTAATGGTTTCTTATTTTCCGGCTACCAGTGTTGACAATCGCATTAAGAAGACTGCTACATTCTGAATTCGTTTCTACCTCTATATGAAATATGCTAAAGAAGAAGGCAAGTGCAGTCTTTTAAATATTAGTTCCTAATTCTTATTCCAACACTATGTTAGTCAAAAGGGGCTTTGTCTCTGAAGAACTATTGTTTTCGTTTTGGGGTTTTGCGTTGGTTCACTCTAAATGTTCATTTCACTTTTCAAACTGTTGCCGTCAAATGTTAGAGTCCTGCATTACATTTGAAGAAATTAAATAATGAAAAAATCTGCATAAATGTATGTATATTTCTCGCATTGTAATAAAACAACGGTACATAGAGCCATCGAATTTTGAATGACGTGATTCTCCTACTAATATAGGCATGTGGAAGCCCAAATTTGAAATTTGGAATTTGTTTTATTAAAGATTTCACATTTTGTAAACTTTTAACGAATTTTTGATTAACAAATTCAAGGATTTCAAAGCGAGCAATGGCAACGTTGTACAGAAAAAACATTTTTATCTCCAGCGCGCGAGACACTGTATCGGAAATTCTAAAGATTTACTCAATTTAAAACTATTTTGCGATATTGCTCTTGAACTGAATTTTATTAAGTGCGAAGAACGTGATATTTAATAAATAAGGGTAACAGACAAGATGTTAACAAAACGCCACTTTGGACGTAATTTAAAATCTGAAACCTTTCAGATTTTATTTATTTTTTGAGGGGAGGGGGGGGCAGGTGATTTTCATCTTAAATCTTTCACGCGTGCAGTTTCTTTGTGTGAAAATTTTAACACTCGCGATGCTCGGGCAAAATTCTATATGCCTGGAAATAATAGAGTAATTCTACTTCATTTCTCTGCAAATTTAATAACGCATGATGCAAACTATAGTAAAAATTCATACGATACGAACAATGTAGTCCCGAGATCTTTCCATGAGGAAAGGTTTACGAAAGACAAAGTCAAAATACGGTTATGTTCTTGTTGTAAATTAGAGTGAATTTCGACAAATCAGTCGAAGGTTATCTCTTTAAAAGGGACGACGCCTTCATGGGGACTTTTTAAGGTAAGCTGGCTTGTATTCATGCTACACATAGCGAAAGTCACAAAAACTACCATGCAGCTAATTTATTTGCTGAAAATTTGAATTTGGTTGCGCTTGCTCTAATTGGTCAAAAGATGATGTTGAAATAGAAAATTAACTATCTGCACCCTCGTTTTTAGCCCAAATAAAAATCATTAAAAAAATTGCTTAGGAGCCGCAATAAACGATGCATGGTTTTGTTCCAGAGGTTAGCACAAAACTGAATTGAACTGTCATATCAAATTCAAACCCACCAGCGGCCGAACGGTAAAGTCGCTGAACACTGGTAGCTCGGTTCGAGGTTCGAATCCCGCGAACAGGCTGGCTGCATGGGTGTTTTCGTGGTTTTCCCCATGTGTAACGTGTATACGAGCCTGTTTCCCTTAGAAAGTCCTCCACGAAGGCATCCCTTCCCTTAGGCAGATGGCCCTCGAGGCTTTGCCGTAATTAAATAACGTAACCTAACCATATCAAATTCATCTTCTCGTACACATGCTTTACTTTTTCTGATGCACATTTGCCACCTTCACACAAAAATAATATTATTTCTTTAAAACAATAACGCTGTACTTTCGAAAAGCGAGATATACTTGTATACGAATTTCAGTGACTTGCTCATGTATCGAAAGATAACAAGTTTCGTCAGACTGTTATTTGTAGTTCAATTAAAACTGATTAAATGTCAATTACCCTGTTTTAAATTTACATTTTAAATTTACATAGCTTGAAGTGGTGACATTATAAAAACGCATTATTATTTTCCTAATCTAGGGAGAACTTAACATATCTGGACCAATTTCACTTAGGGATTAGCGATATTGATCTATACAGAGAAGACGATCCTATAGTGGATGTTGTTTTGAAGAGTATGGCTACTCTGCCTATCGTCCACGTTGGTACGTTTTATTCAGTTTGAAGGCCTTTATCATTTGCTTACTTATTTTATAGTTACCTCATATTAAAAATAAACTAGCATTTCTTTCATCAAGTTTGTAATTGCAGCAGTGAGTCTCTTTAACCTTTCAATTTAATAAATATGTCTTTTTTAATGACCAGCATAGTTTCTGATCCCAGAATTGTTACTTATTTTACTCGTAATTGAAGAAATTCTTGGAAATATTTCGTATTCAAAAGTCCTTTTTTGAAATATATTTGGAGCATTTCTGTATGACGCATAGCGATAAATTTCGTTTTTACAAGCACACCTCTCACACTTAATTTTAAACAGCGCCTTACACATAATTTTAAATAGTTATATTTAAAGTGAAATTAGCTAAATATAGTGTTGGTAAATTTTGGAAGAAAAACATTTTACAATTTTTTTTATTAAAACATGCAAATCTGAAATTAAAGAATTCTTTAGAGTTCAGAGCATATTATGAAGTAGAATAATAAAAGCTCATTTCCTAACTCTAATTCTTCAAGATCCTTATGAAGATTCAATGTAAATAATTCCAAAACATTCAGCATTCTTTTAGCATTTAATTGTTGCTTTAGGAAGGAACCAAAGACTGCTTGTATCAGTTTGAATTCCAGAAAACACGAAAATGATTTCCAGCTAACTTCCCAACCGCGAAATTAATTTAAAAATTTTATGAAACATTTTCCGTTCTAAAGTTTAGCATACAAAATCTTATAATAAAATGTAAAAGGAAATTATCGATGCATATTGTTGCGTAGGTACGGGTTCGTTATGAAATGAATGCACAAGTCCGATGAAAAATGAACAAAACTTTATTATTATCACAACAAAAATGCTTAAATTTTCTCAAATTATCATGCAGTATTACAATATCTCACAGTAGTTATCTTTTAACTACTCAAATGTCCAATAGAACGTCATTCAAAACAGCTAAAGAACGCTAATCCGCGAATTCGCTACAATCAACAAGAGCAGTTTTCTAAACAACAACAAACTAAGCAACTACTACTAACTAACTGAGATGTTTTCCTCCTCCTTTTATAAGATTTTAAAATCACGCGCTAGAGTTTTCCATTTTCCAGTACTTTCTCGAAATCAAAAAGAGATATTTATTTATTTAATGCACGCGCTCTTGTATTTTCAATTTTTCCGGCTTAGCTTTTCTTTAATATTCGTCACGCGCTGCACTGCGCGAGAAATAAAACCATTTAATTTATAATTGAACTAACATTAGCTTTTTAAATACCAAATTCGTAACACTGCCCCCTTCCCAAGGACTGCACGTCCCGGGCAGTACAATCCCTGGACAGGAAGCTAAACTTACAACTGTGGCATAAATGCAACTGAGGCATAAACATTACATTACAATATCAAACAATATAAACAATAAATGCAATAACTAACTTAAACAAATCAAATGCTATCAAATACTAAATACAAACAAATACTAAATACAAATCAAATCTAAATGCAAATCAAATACTAAATACAAATCAAATCAAATACACATTTAAAAAACAAAAGGACCATGGTCTTGATACTATTTACAATTATTTACATTACGTACTATGGCCATAGTAATGAGCTAACCTGTCGTAATGAACGACTTTAGGTTTTTTAGAGTTCGAAGACTTACGAATCCGAACCACGACGTCATTCAGCCTTTTTAGGACTGTATACGGGCCATCCCAAGGTGACTGTAATTTCAAACAAAGTCCTTTCCGTCGAGTCGGATTCCACAACCACACCTTGTCTCCTTCGTGCAACTGATGTTCAGTAGCTCTTGTGTCGTAGCGGGTCTTCATCTTCTCCGTCGCCAAGTTGACTCGCTCTCGTGCAAAGTTGTGCATCACTTCAAACCGGGCCTGGGCATCTTGGATGTGTTCCTCAGGCGATGAAGGCGCATCCGTAGGGCGACTAAACAGGCGGTCACAAGGCAGACGAAGATCTCGACCGAAGAGCTTCTGGGATGGAGAATAGCTGGTAGTCTTGAGTTTCTTTTCGACCCTGGTATGATTTCGGCAGCTTCCCGAGCTCGATCTTTCGGACAAGGCGTCGACATTTCCAGGCGAGGATCCCTTTTGAGGATGGATACTCATGCCATCAGATGCTGAAAGCAGCTTATTGTTTTTGAAATCTAAGGAAAAATTGTATTTTCTTAAAAAGTCCAATCCGAGTATGCATGGATCTGTAATATCCGCCACATATGCCGTGTGATGGTAGGCGGCACTTCCAAACGTGATGTTTACGTTTAACTTCCCAGTTATGTCGATCTTGTCACCAGACGCATTCTGAAGGGTAACACAGGATGGCGTCCAAATAAGTTTATCTTTAAACTGTTCAGCTAAATCTTTTCTAATGATGGTAACGTTAGCTCCTGTGTCAATGATCATATTGCAAGGAACTCCATCGATATTCCCATTGATGGACAGTCCGTTATTGTTGCCACCACTCACTAGAGATCTTAAGCGCTTTAAAACAGGGTTTTTTTTCATTATCTGGCAACCTCCGTTCCTTGATATGGTCATTAATTTGTTTCCTGCGTCGTTGCTCAGAAATTGTCTCAATTTTCGTACCCTGGGGTGTTCTGCAATTCTTTCGTACGTGGCCTTCAGCTGCACAGTTCCAGCACTTTGGTTTCTTGTCAGTCCTTTTCCTTCCCGTGGCATTTAATTGTCTGTTCAAATCATATGCCTTATTTTCCGTGCTCTGGGGAGTTCTGCAGTTCCTTCGTAGGTGGCCTTCAACACCGCAATTCCAGCACTTTAGGATCGGTTTTGTTTCACCACTATTCCGTCTTAAAGCATTCACTGGTCTTGTCAACTCATCCGTTTCATTATCCGTGCCCTGGGATGTTCTGCAATGCCGTCGTAGGTGACCTTCATAACCACATCTCCAACATCTTACAGCCACTTTGTTCTCACTGCTACTCCGTATCAAAGCATCGACTTGTCTGGATAAATCATCTAAACGAGCCATCAATTGGTCCCCTGGGTCGTGGACTCGCACAGCTCTGACTGGGATAGCGATCCCTAAGAGTTGCTTGCTGGGCTGCCTCCAATTTCATGGCGTACACTAAAGCGCTTTTTCAAATCTTTTAACATCCGCCATTCGCAGTGCTTTCTGTATTTCAGGGTCCCGGATGCCGTCGACGAAAGTATTGCAGCGACAGGATTTCCCTCGTTTTCTCTCGGGCACTACGTAAAGGCGAGGTGGGACAGCCTTTCAACTTCCGTGGCGAGTTCCTGGAGTGATTCAGTGGGCTTCTGTTGACGGGATTTTAATTGAAGCCTGCTGTAGTCTTTTAAACATTTCTCGCCAAAGCGCAGCTCCAATGCGCCGGATAGAGCTTCGAAGTCAAGTCTTTGGTTTTCAGGAAGCGTCTGAAGGATATCCGCTGCGTCGGCTCTTAAAGAAGCGGCGAGATGACAGGCCTTAGCTTGGGAATCCCATCCATTCGCATCCGCCACGATAGAAAATTGTGTCTTATACACCTGCCAGGAGGTCTTCCCATCATATGTCGATAGCTTCAGAGAGGGACGAGCAGGCATGGGTAGAAATTTTAAACCATCCGAAGTGCTCCCTGCCGTCGCTACGAATTTCTTTATAGTGTCAACTTCTTTGGCGACGACAGCAGAAATTCTGTCTTCGATTTGTTGTTCAATATGTCCTTGGACGGCAGAAACTCTTTTCTTCATCAATTTGTTGTTGGAAGGCCGAAACTCTTCCTTCGACTTGTCGCTCCACAGCCGAACACTCTATCTTCTATTTCATCTTTGACAGAAGAAACCTTTTCTTCAATTTGCCCAACTTTATTTTCAACCACATCTATTCTGCCTTCCATAGCTTCGAATTTGGTTTTCTATTATGCAAGCAATTTCTCTTTTCATTTCGTATTGACTTTCTTCAATCTTTACTTGTACGGCTTTTATTTCGTCTTTAAAAATTAATTGACCAGCTTGAATGGCCTTCATCTCTTCCTTAACGGATTCTTGGCCCAATTTCATCTCGCCTTTATTTCTTCTTTAACGGAGTTGACGGCTCCTTCCATCTTTTCTTGGAAAGCAGCAAAATGCAGTCATCATTTGCCTGAATTGTTTTTCCATCGCTCTTGTTATTGGCATTCAAATCCCACTTCTGACACCAAAAATTGTTGCGTGCGTACGGGTTCGTTATGAAATGAATGCACAAGTCCGATGAAAAATGAACAAAAATTTATTATTATCACAACAAAAAATGCTTAAATTTTCTCAAATTATCATGCAGTATTACAATATCTCACAGTAGTTATCTTTTAACTACTCAAATGTCCAATAGAACGTAATTCAAAAACAGCTAAAGAACGCTAATCCGCGAATTCGCTACAATCAACAAGAGCAGTTTTCTAAAACAACAAACTAAGCAACTACTACAAACTGAGATGTTTTTCCTCCTTTTATAAGATTTTAAAATCACGCGCTAGAATTTTCCAGTACTTTCTCGAAATCAAAAAGAGATATTTATTTATTTAATGCACGCGCTCTTGTATTTTTAATTTTTATTTTCCGGCTTAGCTTTCTTTTAATATTCGTCACGCGCTGCACTGCGCGAGAAATAAAACCATTTAATTTATAATTGAACTAACATTAGCTTTTTAAATACCAAATTCGTAACAATATATTTGAATATTTCTCAATTGTTACAGGGAAGATAAATATTATTACGTAACAGATTTCTGTCAAAATAATATATTTTCTTTAAAAAATTGCAAATTAATATATCATTTCTAGATGAATCAATTCAAAAACTTATATACAGCTTTTTAGATTTCTGGTTTAATAGTACAAGTGTGATTCATATTTAAAGAGGCTGTTCTGAAAATAATGCGCAACTAAATATTTCTTGAAGTGCTGTTTAGACACATAAATCTATTTTAAGATGTAAATGTAACATAGTAACCTGCCAAGCTATGATAACTTTGGGCATGTGACACTTTTATCAAAAATGTATAAAATTTAAGAAACTGCAGAGCCCCTGTATAAAAACAAGCTGCGCTGAGTTGTTCCCTGTTCTATTAAAGACCGTTGAAGAGAGTAGAAAAACGTAAAATGTGCAAAACTGGCAATAAAAAACAAAAAAAACAAAAAAAAAATTATTACTTAAGCTGCTTAATGAAAATTTTCCATTTTATAGCTCATGTAAATCTGAATTAATCCAATTCATAATTTCGAATGTGTCTAAATTCGTACTTTCCTAATTTAAAAATTATCTTTTAGTAAATTGCATTCAAAAATATAACATAAGGAATTTCTTTTAATAAGATATGCTATAAAAAATATTTGTTGTGCTGTCTAAAATTTTTCATTAACAATATGTTATAACAATATCTCAGACTATTTTTAGCACGTAAAAAGATTTTTTGGCTCCTCATTTTATTGTTTAGCTAATTAGAATGTCGGAAACACATTTCTTATTAACATATTTTTGTTTATGTAACCCTTAAAACGTTAAGTTCCATCTATTTCCACTAAAATGTATGTCATGATAAAAACTTTCGTAATCTGAAAATCCACCTTACCAATTCATTTCTCAAAACGGAACCACGTACCTATATTTAACCAATCAAAAAGTATTTAATCATAGTAGATTTTTGCAACATTCCTGCATACGCAACAAATCTTTCGACACCAGCTTCGTGTAATTAGATTTTTAGCCATACATTTTATTTCTTTAGAGCAATAAAATATATGGAATATATTTTGTTTCTTTAAAGCAATGAAATATATGGAATACATTTTATTTCTTTAAAACAATGAAATATGTGGTTAAAGTTGCATCCAATAAAACTCTTAGTTTCAATCCACCATTTTAAATTATTAGGATATAAGTAAACTGTTTTCCACAACACTATCCAGGATTAATAAGCCATTTTGGAATAAAGTAAATAAGAAACTTCGTGTCGGTTTAATTGCTAGATATTTCAATGGGATTTAATAAATACATGTAACGAAAATAGTGAAAAATACTTTTGATTAAATGTTTTTGTTGAAAATATTAAGCTAAAATGCTTTAAAACCTCTATTACAGTAGGAGCTATCCTGTATATTTTTCGTTGGTATTTTGATTGTGATTATTTCTGTCAGTGAAATATAATGCTCTGTTTTGGAGCATACTTGAATTAAATATTTTCTACTACTCAAAAATATCATCAGCTTTCGAAATTCATTTCTTTTCTAACAAAATTTCGTTATTCTAGTTTGTTATAGTTTATAATCTTTTTAAATCCTTATGCAATTTTGGGCTATGCTATTTTGTTCATTTACACGAGACGTTGTTTTGAAAGTTTGGCTGTACATTTAATTTCAGATGAAAAGGAAGGAGGAACACAACTTAAATTGCTGATCACTTACTCGGATGGAAGTCAAGCCATGTTTAAGCCCATGAGGTAAGTTTGATTCCTGTTTCTTATGTGCGTGTGTGTGTGTGTGTAGAGACATTAGGTTATTTAAAGCAGAAGTCATGAAAATGAACAATGCCCTCGCCGGGACTCGAACTTGGACCTCTCAAATACACGCCGAATGTTCTACTGTTACACTACGAAGGTAAACTGGAAGAAGAAAGAATATACCTTATAGTACCGTTTGAAAACGTAAAGTTAAGTTACTATTTTAAGGTTTTTCTAAAAAATTGCCTATGCTGTTTTCTATCTTTAGAATGTCTAAAACAGAATGTCCGAAAATAAACTTAGATGTGAGAATATAGTTATCCTTCCATACCCTTTCATTGTCAGTATTCCTAGTTACTACAGTTTACCACGGTTCCAAAATGGTTTTGATAATTAAAGAAACAAACGTCGAAATGTTATAAAATACTATAATCTGAGTTAGAGCAGGTGGCAGCATGGTGAAATGCACCAAGCTGCTTAGTGCTGCATATTCCTACGGTAACACCGACTGTGAGGTGGATTTGGACCAACGTGTTATCGCTTTTGCAACACTTCGATGAAAAGCGTAATTTGTAATGATTTGTCATTCCTCGAAACTGTACACCTTCACGGTACAAATATACTTTCAGATGGAAGCTACCATATCTAATAAACTAAATAAAAATGTGCATATTCTAAACAAATGCAGATTTGGTATTCTTATAAAAATTAATATATTCATATTTTCTCTTACGAATATTTTTAGATTGAATGGGAAATGTTAGAAGTAATAAATACCTTATATTTTGATAAGTAATAAATGTTAAAATACATATTCGGTCCTTGTCATGTTTTTGTCAAAGAGTTAATGGCCTTCGATGCATCTTGATTGAGCCATGTGACACTGAAATCACGATTGTGCAGTCCTGATTTGCACGTTTAGCTCTAAGGACAGCCAGTGACTCAAGATATGTTGGAAAATCATACGAAAATATGAAGTGTAATATGAAACGCTGCTCAAGAAATTGATTTCGGAAATTTCTTGAAAACTTGTATGTGCTGATAGGAGTAAACCAATGACAGAGTAACTAAAACTTTCATGGTGTGTTTATCTAGAAGGACATGAGACTGTTTTGTAAGTCGATCTCATATTTTGCTTCATGTAATCTCTTTACCAGCGTCTACTTCCTGTCCGTAGGGGGAAGAATTGACATTTCATTTTTTCCCTTTTATGACGAATTAAGATAAAAATATGCATTGCATTCTTACTTGTTAATTTTAATACGTTATACTATTTCATTATTATCTTCTTATACATCGTCTGCATATATGTACATTCACATGTTCTTGTAAAAAAGGGGAAAATAACCTGAAGAACAGCAACGGAATCGTCATAAACTAAGAGACAAATTACACAAGCAAATCTACATCCTGATGAAACAGCTATCTCTGGAATGAGAATAGCAATAGATTAATAAAACAATTAAAGCATTAATTAGAACGTAGTTTAAATACCTTTAGACTAAATACATAGAGTCGAGTTTCTTGTATATCCATGTCAGTTTTCAATTAATAGTTCTTTTGCGTTATTTATACTGATGCTTAATATAAATTTTTATTTTGTAATGTATGTGTCTGTATCTAAAACTAAAGTATTCAATCCTTCCGTCAGTTAGATTTGATCGTGAGAAAGAGACTGAACCCAATCATTTTTATTTCGTGGATTATGAACGGCATGTAAGTGAAATTGCTGCCTTCCACCTGGACAGGTAAATATTGCGTTTGTACTTCTATAACATTTTGAGGGGATATTTTCTTTCTTATACCTAACTCAGAGGAATTTCTTATTATTATTTTGTTACAGGTTAAATAATCATTTGAAGTTTTCCGTTTCTGTCATATTTTTGATATTGACTTTGATTGTGTATGGTATCGAAAACAGTAGGTCTCGTGATGTACTTGAAGAAATTCTTAAACGCTAAACACTACCAGAGTATGCTGGCTGTTACGTGCATCTTTTCATACTTCCATCGATCTTGAAAGGTATAATTTATTCCAAAATAGCAGTTTGACTATCCTTTCCTGTTCAGAAGGGCTCAAAGAATAAACTTCTGAATTCTAGACCGGTGGTCGTCAACCCTTAGAACTTCACGGACCACTACATATATAATTTTATATCTGGCAAACCACTATTATGAATTTAAAAAAAAAACCTTAAATCAGACTTTAACAACAACATATTAATACGCAAAAACAATATTCAACTTTCCATTACATGTACTTCTAATTTTCATTTGTTAATATAACTTTCGAAACATGCCTTTATGGAAATTCAGGCTACTCCCCTGATTATGAGTAACAATTAAAACACGATTAACATCTCAATTATATACATATTTTGTTTACATTTAAAAATTATATGAAAAGTACAAAAACTTACCTTCTTGTACAGAAAGCTTCACATTTGCATATCACTGAAAAGGAACTTCACGAAAGCAAGAACAAACCGGCAAAAGCAAAGCAATATCAATAAACTGAAAGTGTTATGCCGCCAATTTTTAATTATTGTAAACATAATATTCATCGCTTATTCCGCAATGGCGCAATCGATCAACAATTAGAGAAAACTAAAACGGAAACTTCGAGTGATGCAATTATAAACAAGAATGCAGGTGGTTGCCTATTGACACGGAGAAAAACTGTGTTATTAACGACTACAATAGCATATGTTTGTAATTCAAAAGGAAAGAGAATTCCAGTCCGCGCTATTATTGATACCAGTAGCATATCCATGGATGCCAACTCTCACTTTCAAATGTCGCTAGATACACGTGCAAAAGTCGCTGAATTCAGAAGGAATTTCGCTAAAAGTAGTCGCTAAAATTTTAGAAAATATGTATTCCATAATATGTTTTTGTTACTCGTCATTTTTTAAACTGAATCTTCATAAAAATATAAATAATGTCCCAATTTTTCTGTGGACCATCAAAGGTTTTCACGGACCACCGGTTGGCAACCGCTATTCTAGACCATCCATTATTCATCAATGCTTTTGGATTTAAGTTTTCCTGAATGTCTTTTGATCGCTGTTGCTTGAAATATCAGATCCATGGACCTGAAATGGATCCCTAGATCCATGAATCATTTAGGTCATACTTAGCGAGCAATATGACAATAGGCGTGGCTTCATTTCTTTCAGTCGTGTTTTAGCATCTATTAATAGTCAGTGTTTCAGTTTCTGCAAAATGGCAATCGTGCTACGCTAGGACTGAATATCTGCTAAGAATGCATCTTCTGGTTGTTTTGATTATTTCTATGCACTTCCAAAATGCACACACTATTTGAGACAGCTTCATCTCTTATAACTTATCTAACATATAACAATAATTTGGTATGGAAAAATGTTGCAAATCAGTAGATACTATTTGTATGTACAGAAAGAATAAGCCATGATATAATAAACTTTTCTAAATTGTAAAAGCAGAATTCAGATGTTATTAAAGTAAACCAAAATTCACATATTTCGGAAGATTTTATTAACTTTCAGTATTTTATCTATCCTTTTCCACTGTTTTGTTATCTCCCAAATAGAAAAATTAATCTTTCAAATATTTTCCAATATTTAATTTATTGAAAATTTAATAAGCTCATTTGTAATATAACAGAATAAAATGCATCATATGCAGGCTCTAATTAAACAAGCTAATTATTAATTTTTTAATATTTTAAGAATTATTTCTTTAATTCATACACAGTCTCATTCAACTTACTTAAGAATTTTATATATTCACATTATATCTTGTTCTTTAATACAGCATTCTAGGTTTCAGAAGGTGTCCACCAGTGGTTGGAAGAAAACTCAATATAACGACAGAAATTTATGCAGTTGCAGATGATGAACTGATTAAAACCTTCTTCATATCCCCTGGTAATCGGAATTACACTTTGTAAGAAATAGTTCAATAGTTATTACTGAATTTGCTGAAATAATAAATAAAATAAACTGTAAAATTATATACAAAATATATTCGTAAAATGTGACTGCTGACTTCATTTCCTTATATACTGATATTAATACATATACTTCTATTGGCAGGTTTTCTTAAAATAAGGCAAAGAATTTTATGAAAACACTTTCATTACTAATGGTAAAAGATTTCTAAAAATATTATGTGTAGCTAAACTTCCAGTTAGCAAAATGTTCATTATGCTTTAATTTTTTTTAAAAGAAAGTTTCATGCCTTAAAAATTCGCAAAGAAACATTTAAAATTTAATCATAAGTTTTTGCATCGAGTACCGGAACATTAACTACGAAAACAAACTATTTTAATTTTCAATTACTCCCTAAAGCAAAAAACTTGAATATTTAACAATAATTAATTTTTATAAATCACTTATATCTAGCCTATCGAAAATCAAAATAGGTCAATTAATTAATTCTCAAATATCTTCGAAATCTGTAATGTCTGTGAAGTCATATAAAAGTTATGAAACATTTTGCAGCACATTTATTATAGCGTAACAAATATTCTATTATTTGGAGTTTTTGCTCTATGATAACTATATAAAAATTTATGTTTTATATTTAAATAAACTTTCCACCGTTAGTATCTAAAGAGTTTTCATAGAATTCTTCCTCTTAATTTGAGATGCTTTTTAATTAGAAATGTAAGTATAAACTCAGATATGAAAGATAGAAAAGCCTGTAACAAAACTCTTTTAAATATCTGTATATTATAAGAAATTTAAAAATTTTTATAATTTAAAAAAAAAATTCCTATCCATTAATATAATTTATTATATAATATATTATTAATTATAGAGTCATCATTAATTATTATAGAATTATCAATACTTATGGAATAGTGATGCGCTTAGGTGCTACGGCAAAGTTTTATTGTTATTTTAATGAATAAGTTTAGTTTCCTGAGTGTTTATACCAATATTCTCCATAGATTTGTCTTCCACACTAAATAAAGGAAACTGGACATTTGAGTTTCTAAAAAGTCCATATAATAAAAAATTTTAGTTGCGAATTAAAATTTAAATAATTTATTATAACAAAGTTTGGAAAAAATGTTTTCGAAATCAAACATTCAAAGATAAATTTTGGCAGAAAAATGAAAAACAGCTAAAAATTTACATCCGTATAATTATTCATTTTTAGGTAAAATGTCAAATTTAATTCATGAATAATGATGTAGATATGTTTTTAATAGCATCAACTGAGAAAGTAGATGATTTGCATCAGTAAGCTGCAGTTTTCAATAAAGGAATTATTGTTCCAAAATTTAATTGAATTAAGCATGCTTTATAGTATACACCGAGCCGTTGTAGAAAATATATAAAAGTGAATATAATCTATATTTTAAACTGCACAGTAAATAAATAATACTTAAAAAACTAACAAAACGCAAAATTTTAAAATTGCATCTTAATATTGATTATATTTCACTAATACATCTAAATGGTTTAATTTTTAAAAAAAGAAAAAATATTTTGTTTTCTAATTGAAGGCAGAGCACTGAGCAAAGATTTTGTGAAAAGCAAGGCAGTCACGCAGCGATCTTAATGCCGGATGCATATTTACCCTTCGTACCTAGGAAACGCCACCCAGGAGTATATTTGGCGATTTTACCAGGTCTTGGCGAAATTGTGACAACACGCGCATGCACAAAAGGAAAGTAAAGTTGTCTCATTCTTTCATCTCTTCGTGTAGCAAATTCAAAATGGCTGAAAATGTATCATACGGAACTTTGCTTAAAAATGAACAGCCATTTTTCTCTATTTAATGCCCCCACCAATCTCACATGAAATTTGCTACTTCAATAACAATATTTGATACATGCACAACTGACAATACAGTAAAACTGACATTAAAAATATGATATCTCATCACGATGATGGTTCGTCCCTCCCTGGGCATGCGCATACTGTCATAATTTCGCCAAGACCTGGTAAATCGCCAAGTTTACTCGCTTCCTAGGGACGAAGAGTAGATACGTATACTGGACTATGGTTGGGGGTCAGGTAGATGGGAGCTCGAAGACACGGCAAAGAAACAAGACTCTGTTCTCAGTAATATACGTATATAGGAATGGTATTTATTTGTTCTAATAATATCAAACATGGCGATAGTTTCAATTCTCTTCCCCTCGTTAGAAGCACCGCTGATACTCATTGATTGAAAGTTGAAAATTACAAAATACTTCCCAAGTACCAAATTTCAGAAATTCGGATAAGGAAACAGTGTTGCAAACGTCTCCTGACCGTCTGCGATTGGATGATATTTTGTGGAGATATAAAATACAGGGTGATTATAATTAAAGTTTAAGTTCCAAAACGCTAGAAAAAAAAAACCATTGATGAAAATGATGTGAAATTTGACAGGAATGTTATTGAAGAAGGCGGAAAGCGTATGGCAGAAGAAAAAATTAATTTCAAAAGTTAGCAGCAGATGGCGCTGTAAGCAGCAGAATCACGACGAGAAACGAGAAATGATTCGTAAAACAACGGCTAAGGTGGATGTTACACATTAAAACGCATTGACAAATTAGACTTGTTGAATAATTTTATTTGCATGACTGTACATATCACATCGCAAGGGACAAATCGGTTTCAAGCGTTTTGCGGCGACATACCGCATAAGAACCATTCATCAAAGAAGTTCGTAACTGTCGCGAGACTGGCGCAAAACATGTTCAATATGGTGTCCACCGTAGTGTGCAACAAGTTGAAAGCGACAAACAGCATGTTCCTTCCACAACTGATCGCAATGTCTCCGGGTGATGTTCAGAATGTGTTGCGAAATGCGTGCCTTTAATTCCGCTAAATTTGCAATTGGAGCACGGAACACAACATCCTTCAGATATCCCCACAGCCAGAAATCACACGGAGTAAGATCAGGCGATCGGAACGGCCAGGTTGTAGGGAAATGACGGCTGATAATTCGAGCATTTCCGAAATGGAGCCTCAGCAGCTGCTTCACGGGATGTGCAATGTGCGGAGGAGCGCCATCTTGCATAAAAATGATTTCATCCACACATCCACGTGGTTGAGCAAAAGAGACGCATACCTCTGACCAGTGACGGTTGCGGTAACAGGACCGGAAGCACCCGTCTGCTCGAAAAAATATGGTTGTAGGATGAATGATGCCGTAAAGCCACACCATACCGTGACCTTTTCAGGATGAAGTGGTACGGGGTGCGTTGCCAATGGATTTTCTGTTGCCCATATTTGACAATTCTGGGTATTCACGTATCCTGTCAGATGGAAATGGGCTTCATCTGTCCACAAAAATTTCCACGGCCATTCATTATCCACTTCCATGCGAGCCAGGAATTCTAACGCAAACGTCTCCCTAGCTGTCAGGTCAGACGGAAGCAACTCCTGCACATGGCCAATTTTGTACGGATAGCATTGCAGGAATGTTTCGTACAATTTTCAGCACCGTGCTCGTAGGTCTTGTCCAATGTTCCGGCAATTCCTCGTGCATTGCACGGTTGCACACCACCGGCCGACCCCTCCTGTAATGCTGTGGCCACTTCTTCAACTACCGTCGAATGCACTCGTTTTCTCCCTCTACCAGATTGCACATCAAACGAACCTGTCGTTTTCGAATTTTTGCATCATTTTCTTTAGATCCTACGACACTCATTGGACCAACGCCTTCTTTTATACCCTTCAGTGTCCTGAATTTTTGCAGAGCTACTCTTGCACAATCATCATTCTTGTAATACAGCTTTACCAGCAGAGCGCGGTCCTGCAGTGAAACACCCATGGCGAACGTCTAAGACGCGAAATGAGGAACAGCCGATCCGAACAAGTATGGCTGGAGTAGCGCGCTGTTTCCAGCTCATAAGGAGAGCCCAGTAGGCACATGACGGTAGGAAGTCTGACGTGGTAGGAGTTAAGAGAATGAGGTGAAGAGGAACAGCTTGGTACCTGGCGGCTTTATAACACTGAAATTTAACTGACATTTTAATTTACGTCTTCTTCCGCTTGCAGCGCCATCTGTTGATCACTTTTGAAACTAATTTTTTTCTTCTGCCATACGCTTTCCGCCTTCTTTAATAACATTCCTTTCAAATTTGACGTCATTTTCATGAGTGGTTCTTTTTTTATAGCGTTTTGAAACTTAAACTTTAATTATAATCACCCTGTACATTACAATAAACATCTCCGCAACTAGGAAGAAAGCATAAGTGATCGAATAGTTAGAGATGTGAAACACTGATAGTTCATTCCTGTTCTCCATTCTGAAGAGAAATGGACTGTTGATACAGTTTTCATGAAACTTTTTAAGCGTATAGTGAATACGAGTCGATTCCCCTTAGAAAGTTCTTCACTAGATTATTTCTCTTCTTATAAAGCTAGTTCCTATGTGCCTTGCATTATTAATAAATTATTCTTAGAAATTTCCATTCTTATTATGAAGCTAATACTAAACATTATGAAACCTTTGACGCATCCTTCTTTCAGAGTAACTGGGACAAAAGAATTTACAATAAAGTATATAATACACCTTAATATTTTAAAACCTTAATATTAATAATGAGATAAAAGATTTCTTTAATGTGTCTTTGTAGCGATCAGATCAGTAGCAATTGGAAGGCTTTGGGTTCCCTAAATGAGTATGATTTTCCACGCCCCAAAACACCTGCAAGCAAATCTCATTATTCTACGATATAATTAACTCTTAAGAAATAACAAAAAGCTTAAACTGATTTAATAAACAGATGCATGAAATAACTCTTGTATTCTCTGCTATTATTTAACGTTATTTCCCTTTCTTTTAAATTTTTTGATCGCTTGTCGTAACCTGAAAAAACGCGTTTCTCGTCTATTTTTCCTCACATAAAGCATCGATTTCAACACTTTTATATAACTTCAACGTACAAGATTGCAATATCATATCTCACTAATTCTATATAATCATGTCAAACATTTTACTCTCTAGGGTAGTTTTACCTATGAAATATTTTTTAAAGCAGTTAGTTACAATTAAAACTTTTTATAAGTTCATTCAATATATTCATGATTTCCATTCTATTAGAAATCCCAGAAATTTAGTAAATTACTTATTTTTAAGCACAGGTTGAGTTAAAAATGACTAACTGTTTCTGAACGCTGAACAGGTATAATGACAATAACAATGAGCCCAGAATACAATAGGAAGTTTGTTTGGGATCGTGCATTGTTCGATGTAATACCACATTGCTGAAGTAAAATTATAAATATCCATGATCAGAGTTACTGATACAAGACTCTAAAAGGCCCACACGCTTCAACGCTTTTTTACAGTGCCACTGTGAATGTGTGGTATGAGATTTCTGTAGAATGGGATCTTATATATTTCGAGCATGTTTTTTTTTAAAAAAAGACACAGAAACAGTGATACATGGTCATGCTCGAAACATTTCTTGAAGATGTCAAAGAACCTTCTCATTGCATGGCGGCTTCAGAGGGATGTTGTAAATGCCTACACAAATAGGATGCACATGGTCATCATTCGAAAGTTGTTCCCAGGTCACTGATAATACATATATTAGGGGGATATAAGTAGGCCAGGCCGGTCATTTAATTTAACCCTGCTTAGCTAGTTCCTATTGGACTAACTGAAAGATAAAACGTTGAAAAGATATCTTCATCCCATTATTGTATTAAAAAACTAAAGTGTTTGCAGAGCCTCAAGCCTTGTTTCATAATGCAATGATGTTAATGTTATCTTGATTTCAATAATGTTAACTCTGGAAATATGGTCACTTGCCCTGTGGAATATCCAGGATATCATGGTACTACAGCAAGACTCAAAATTTCTGTGATATCTAGGTAATGAAACTGTGGTTCGATGAAACGACATGAAAGAATTGATTATGAATGCGGCACAAACTTGCATTAAAATTTTCGGTGAAACAGGACTTTTCCCATAATTCATTGTGTAATAACATAATAGAATAACAAACTCGTAATAGAATAATAATAGAATAAACAAACTAATAGAATAACTTTGTAATAGAATAACAAACTCGTGTAGATTTCTTCATAATTAGAACTGGCCGAAGAATGTAATGGCAGAACAATTTTGGAGGCATTGAAATACGAACGCTGAGACGTAGATGCGTAGATACTTGATGCTTAGAGCGTCCATCCATTTTTGAAGAAGAAGCAGTCGAGCCGTATTAAATTCCTTTTTTATTTAAATTCTCATTTTGTGGTCACAATTCACTTGGCACTCTACTCGTGCCTATTAAAGAACGTTTACAATTTTGATATAATTGCCATAGAAGGGAATATAGCAGCACACACATGATTGCAGAAAGACGCTTGGCCAAGGGGGGAAAGCACAAGCAAAAGTGACGCATCAGTTCATAGAAAGGAGGGAGGGAGTCAGAAGTTTCAGTTTTTCAGTTCAGGAGTCAAAAGTTCATCTGCATTAAGAGTTACGTAAGATCGCATGATTAATGTGAATGACGCAGTTTAGACTTACAGTGCTATTTTTAGGACAGATAGATGAAGTTCCCAAATGAAATAGAAAATAAAAGAGGTTATAGTGAATTAAATTTAAAAGTTTGCTTTATTTTTATCTTACATATGTGTATAAAGAAAGAAACAGACCGAAAGATTGGATTGGATTGGATTATTAATTTATGGCAAAGCACACGAGGGCTATCTGCCTAAAGGGAGGGATGCCTTCGTGGAAGACTTTCTAAGGGAAACTGGCTCGTATACACGTTACACATGGGGAAAACCACGAAAACGCCCATGAAAGACAGAAAGAGAGATGTGCGTGTGAGAAAACACAGATTTTCACTTTTCATTGGCGCTCTCTTTCAATTAAAACCTGGCATTTATTTTTGTAACAATCCTTGAATTCAACAGAATATCCTTCCGCCTACTTTTTTTATTCATATAAATTACGTCTACATAATTATAAATAATTATCGTCATCGCATGGTTAGAGAATTGAAGAACTTTATTTAATCTTATTTAATTCCTAAAAACCAGGCAATATGGAAAGAATCTGTTTTTCACAAATTTGAATACCTCAAAAATAAAGACTTCTCTGCATTTGTATATTAACTCAGCGATTATCTTTTATAGCACAGAACATTTGTTTTCATGGACACTGCAGTTATTACTGTAGTACAGGCCACGCCATCTGCGGACGTCCTGACACACTAGAGGGCAGTTTCGCAGCATTTTTGCCTCCCGACAAATTAAGTGGCAGAAGGTCGTGGAAGAACCCTTGGAAAAGATCATATCACAAACGTCGAAAAGCTGAGTGGGAGAAAAGAAATGATTATTGCGAAGACGTTCGTGAAAACCCTCTGTACAGGAATACTAAGCGTCTTGCCGATCTTATTGATACCTCAATCTTGGACTTTTTTATAGGTAAGCCGATAAACTTATCATTTAATACAAGGCGAATAAATTAGGATGAAAAATTTAAATTTTACATACTATTTTATAAATTACCATTGATTTCTAAATTACTGAAATTCTTCTAAGCTGTTACATGCAAATGTGGTTTATTTAATTTCATATTTCACGTAAGCTGAGTAAAAGATATGAAATCAAATAACTGTAAAATAAAATTATATCAAAAATTATTTTAGTTAATATATATAATATATATATATATATATATATATTATATATAACTAAAATAATTTTATATATATATATATATATATTTATAACTAAAACCAAGTTACAATAGGCCTATTTCATGTTTCTCTGGTAAATAACCCTTTGCCAGCGAAGATACCTTCTTCCTTATGCTTTTTAGACCATTAGCCAGAAATAAATTAATTTCTTCTGTTTAGTAAAAAAATGTTTACTAAGAAACTAGTCTTTAACGACAACTTTAACTAAACAATTTGTTTCACTCGCCAACTTTATCGCCAACCAACCAACTCGCTTCAGTATCTCAAATAAAGTACAACACGTCAACTTTCTCCCACTAAATACAGCACTATTACATCCAATCACTGAGTATATGTACAATTACAGCCACTTCGTTTCAAATTTTCCAAATAAGTAAATTAATTTAAATTTCCTTTCTGGCATCGATTTGTACCTAAAGTTGTACTTAAATACCTACTTTTGATAGTGTTTACTTTTGATAGTCTACTTTTTTCTGTCGGAGAATGTAAGAATCTCACTTAATTCATTTCTTAACAAGCTTAAATTAAAGCGAAAATCTCACTCATTTTTATTTTCGGTTTTGTTTATGGCAAGTTATTTTGGCTCAAGCAAACTAATTATTCTCAGGTTTGAGTTTTGTTTCTTGATGATTTGTGATTTACCTCTAGCAAAACAACTAATCTGAACCTTACTTGGAAAAAAAAAAGATGAAACTCTCTCACTTAATTTGGTTATTTTGAGTGTGGATTGGTTTGTTCCCCTTGACAAGTCAATTCATCTACGGTCAATAACAATGGCTACCTTTTAAAGTACTTTAAGTTTTACTATTTAATTTTACTAGTTAGAATTTTTCCGATTTAAAATAGTTTTAATAGAATAGATATCTAAATAACTTATACTTAAAATACAGACCCAAATTTATTCCAATAATTCATTGCATTATTTAAATTTATGTTCCTTGGAAACGGTATATAAAAAATCTTTTCTAATAATAATAATAATAGAGAGAGAAGAAACAGAGGAAAACATAGTAATATGTCAAAACAAAAACAAAAATTAAACATGTCCTGTGCTATATGTCCTGTGCTATTGCTATTGAATTGAAGTAAATTAAACTTAAATAACTCAAAATTAAAATTAAATTGGAATCAGGAGATTCAGTTTTAATTTTTATTTTTATTATTTTACCATTTGCATTTTTATTTTTCGGGTTTATTCTAATGATGAATTCTTTTATTAATTTGATTATGTTTAGCTACAATGTATGAATTTTTCCACGATTGTAATTAATATTGTTAGGGAATTGCCTTGCTTTGATTCTGATTTAATTTTAATTTTAATTATATATGTATATATATATATATGTGTGTAAGATATAACAAAATACGATAACTGTTTTAAGAATAATTGGCGACCTCAAAAATTAGCATTCTAGGTTTGGTGCTCTCTCCCTTAGTTTATCCTTTCTCCCAAATTCGAGATCATTCCAAATTACATAACGCTGCTCGAAAAATGGAACTAAAACACAAAGTTAACCAGTCACAGATTAGCTGTACTTTGTATACCTATCTAGTAAAAATAGCTAATAACTGCGTAGTCTCCCTTTCGAATCCTACCGGCTACACCATTAGATGTAATAAAACTGCGTTATTATTGAAATAAGATGACTTACTGAGATTTGCAATGGATTGGCGCTAGAAAGGACTGCTTCATAACTTGAAGACTTTGTTGCGTAGTTTGCAAGATGACACTCGAAGGACACACATAACGGTAAATTCTACACATAATTTTATTTTTTGATAATGCACATTATCATTAAGGGAGCGCTATGCACCTGCTTTTTTTCTACAGCTCAGATTTCTTAAACAATGCACTTAATTTAGAAAAGTAAACTCCACGAGGCTAGCACCAATGCAAAGCAGGGACACGATGCAAGAGAAAAGCGAAGAGACGAGCGAAGAGAAGAAGAGAGAGTTGCGACGCAGTTGACATTTTTATACCGAATTCCATTTCAGATCACATGGCAGTTTAATGTACAGGATTTGGGGTTCAGATTTCATCGGTAGGTGCGCATCAGAACTGCAGGGAGAAAAATTTATTGCTATTATTTTTAGAATGAAACGGAAGTTAAAGGGCTATTTATTTATTATTTGAAAGCTATATTTCATATTTTACATATATATATTACGTATATATATGTGCATGTAAGATACAAAATATGAAAGCAGACTGCTAACTTTAATTTTGAAATATCCCCTTCATTCTTCATTTTAATTTGGGTACTTCCTCTTTCTTTCCTAAAAATGGTAACTATTTATAACATAGCAACGTAAACTGCGTCATTTTAAAATTAATCCGCATAATAAGGTCTTGCGTAACGCCGAAATGCAGAAACCTATTGTTCAATCACTGAATAAGATTTCCATTGAAACCAAAACATTTTTCTCTCTCACATAGTTCTTCTGAATACTTCATACACTTTCTCCCTTCTCTGCTTCAAAGTAACATGTAACCGCTGGCTTCTTTCTATCATTCATTGTATGTTTTAAGATCCAAAATAAATCTTAAGTTTCCAATGATTGTGGGATACATATTCGCGCCTATGTTGATGTATGAATAAGATTATGCGTCTAAAGAATTGTGTTACTCTGCAATAAAATATGTTGAATCTACGACTACGTCTGTCTGCAAGTATCATTATTCTATGTATGCAATAAACCTCTCCAGTTTGTTGCATGTAAAACATATATTTTTATATAAAATTAATAATTTACTAGAATTAGATTTAACCATCCTATTAAAATTCTAAAATTGAATTAAAAGAAATGTACTAAATTTTAAAAACATGAACAAAAGTTAAGATAATCCCGTACTATTTTTTAAATGTTTAGCTCAAAAGAGCGTTAACTCAGAATGGCTATTAGTCTCGAAATTAAACAACGAAGAATCTGCAAGAACGTATGCATTTTTCTCGCACTGTGAAAATAATAAGATATGCTGATTTTTAAATATTTTAGCCCAAATGCTCTCGAAACGTATATGTGTGTGTAAATGAAAAAAAACGCCCTTTTGGGTGTAATATAAAATTTGAAGGCTTTCAGATTTTTTTTTCTGTTCTGTCTTTTTTTAGCTTATTTAAAGTGTACTTATCAATCATATTAAAATTTTATAATACATTTTAGATTATTCATATTTCATGTTTTAAACTGACTTCTCAAGGGGTAATAATCTGAAACATAAAAACCTGAACAATCCAAGAAAATTGTATCATGTTTCGTTCCGCATGACCTTTTGAGCAATTAAAGAAAAAATAAACAGTAAAAAGAAACTAAAAATGGAAACATTATTTACAAACATTATTTGCAATATTTACACCCAAAGCTCAAAACGTTTGAGATTACCCCAACGTGAAACATCCTCGCCCTAATATATATATATATATATATATATATATAATTTTTTTAAATAAAAATTACCATTAAAAAATAAAACGCAGTGGCAAAAAAAGGTTTTAATGGTATATAAAGCATTATTGTAGAAAATTATCGTAGAAACATATTAAACACTTTTTAAATTCATCTTCAACAATTTAAGAGAGGAAAAAAGTGAAACTTCTCTGTAGTTTAGGAAACTTACAAACAACACCCTGTAAAAATCAAAATAGCGCTGTGATTCAATTTTTGCTGTGAACCCATGGTATCTAAGTTCAAGGTTTCCATTTTCTGTGAAAGTCTTCTAAACGTCGTAATGGTCAAACTTGATAGTGAAATTTCCATACAAACCTTGCCAAAGTGGCCTAAAAAGTTGTAGGATATAAATTTGGCGTCCCAAAGGTTTGCCAGAATGTTAGTAGTGAGACAAAGGGAAGAACCTAATGATGATAAATTCGAAACGTTATTGGAAGTGCAATATTTAATTAAGTAACTATATTAAATTAATTCTGGGAAAGATATGGAGAAGGAGAATAGCAAGTTATAAGGTATTTCTCCCGCCTTCTTAGCATTCCTTCGTAGTGTAGTGGTCTGCATGCTTGGAGCGTATTCGAGAGGCACATGGTTCGAGTCCCGGCGAAGGCGTTGCTCACTTTTCATGACTTCTGCTTCAAAATAGCCTAATGTTTCTTCAAAGTTTAAATCAAAAGGTCTTCACCCATACACGCTATTATTGGGACTCTGAAAATAGTTGGCTTCTGGTTATCAAGAGGAAAGAGCCAGAATTAAAATACAGATGCTGTACAAAGCAGAATTATTTATATATTAACAATACTCTTATTTCATTACCATTCTACATTATTCTCCTTGCAGTTTAAAATAATTCAGTCATTTCGTAACATAAAATCAGAATCTACATTTGGTATTTAACAATAGTTCTTTTTTAGAATGCAATTTGAATGCAAGTTAGATATCGTAACTGATAAACAGTAAACATCCATAGAAAAATAAAATATATTCCTTCATTATAGCTGATTATTAAAATAACAGTATTTGCCACAACAATATTCATTTTTAAACAGAAACAAGAATTAAAAATCCTTTTAATTAATAGTTTATGACTTGAAATTTTATGTCGTTTCTTTCCATTGCGTTTATCAATTGAAAATTTTTGTTAAATTTTTATTGTCATTACTATTTTTTTTTTGTTTGTTTGTTTTGATTTATGCTTTTGTTATTCACCCTCGTTTATAACTTTTACGTCTCAGTATTAGTAGTTGAGTTCAAGGTAATACTTTACTTGAGTTTTTCCTCTCTTCTCATATAGGAAATATGGATCGCCATCATTATGAGACATTCAAGATTTTTGGAAATGACAGCTATATTTTGCATCTAGACCACGGGAGAGGGTATGTATCTAATAAGTGCAAAATGAACATCGCAATTTAAAAATAATCAAAATATGTTCTAAGACTGACATCGTGGTTTACGGTAAAAAATCTTTGAACAAAAATTTAAAATTCATAAAACTTATGCGCTACGGAGATTTTCTTCAGGTTCGCATCATGCAGTGCATATTTCTTTTTAAAACAAACGCCAGTTAAAAACTGAATTGAGCACAGTTTTATAATGCGCTCAAATATTTTAAATTAATTATTAATTATTTTCATGTTATAAATAAAGTTTTATAAGAAGTTGCTATGACCAAACTTATAAGCATAATTCAATACAATATTTCGACAAAATTTTATATGAAAAAATGTGAGAGAAATACTTTATCTTGTATTTAAAATTTATTCCAAATTCTATCTCAGATTGTTGATTTTAGTAAAATATTTCTACTAATTTCTATAAGGCCCAGTACACGTATCTCTTCCACAATAATTAAAGACGTTCTGCTAGTAATTAGAGCTTCTTATAGGTCGTTGACAAGTACATACGTCTTTATTTCAAGAGAATATTAATTAGCGTATAGGCTATAAGAGGAGTCACGACGCAAAGTACATCAGCAAAATCGAAAAAATTGCATGAGTTTAGAAGATAAAAATTAGGAAAAATAAATAAAATTTTAATTAATAAATTAAAAACATATTTTATAGAAAGAGCAAAATGTACCAAAAATGATAATGGAGGTAATGAGGTGGTTTAAAGAAACAGAGCCTTCTATAGATAAGTTAGACTTTGTGGTGTTACATATATCCCTTGATACTAGCTTGTGCCAGTTTTATGAACATATGTCTTGTTAAAGGAGTTTTCCTTTAACAGAAAAATATCTATACACGGTTAACACTTTTGAGTAAAAGAAACAGGAAAAGAAAACAACTTTAAAGTTTATCTTAAGTTTCGCAGAAAGTTACAAAGATTGCTTACTTCATTTTCTGCATTTATGAAGTCTCTGAACGCTGATAGTTTTACCTGGTTTATTTCCAGAAGAACGGGTTGATTTCATGGACGTTTATCCCACATACAACGTAAAGTAGGTAGCCCGAGCATGATTTTCCGTAACCAAATAAAATTTAAAAAGAAAAAAAATATTTAAAAAATATAAATATCCTATACTTTTTTTATATAACAAACCTGTGAAGGCTCAAGGCAACTTTTATGAAAAGTGATAAATGTTAATTTAAAAAATATATCAGGCTGCAGATTTAACTACACTCATGTCCATAAACTAAGGATAATGCAAAATCAGGCAAAGGAAGAGTTAGAAGCAAAACAAATTTGACTTATTTGTAAAGCTTATTTATTAAACAAAAGGTAAAGAGCAAAAAAGATGCTATATGTTTGATATTATTAAAAAAATTAGCGATTTTTTCCCTGGAGCAAATTACAAAAAAAAACCTATTTACAAAAAACCAATATTACATGGTTGGTATGATTGTTAATACATTGTATGTCTCCCAGACGATGCAATACAGTCCGTACAACGCCTAGGCATGCTGAGTATCAAATTATCGATCTGATCTTGGGGGATATTACACCACTCAAAAAGCAATGCTCTCCGAAGTTCCGGTAGACATGTAGGAGGAGGTTGACGGGCTGCAACTCGTCGGCCAAGCATGTCCCACACGTGCTCTACTGGATTCAAGTCCGGTGAGAATGCTGGCCAGTCCATACGGGTGATATCCTCCGATTGAAGGCATTCGCTTACGATGTTTGCACGGTGAGGACGGGCGTTGTCATCCATAAACACAAATTGTGCGCCCATGGCGCCCCGAAACAAACGTACATGTTGTTCCAGAATGACGTCCCGATAGATTTGGCTTGTCATGGTTCCAATTTGAACATGCAGGTCAGTTCTGGAACCCAGAATAATTCCACCCCAAACGAGCACTCCTGCACCACCGTAACGGTGTCGTTCAATGATGTTTTCTTGGTGGTAACGGGTACCTGGAGCTCTCCATATGAAAGTCCGGCGAGAATCAGACTGCAAGCTAAACCTGGACTCGTCGGAAGCCCACTGTTGCGGTGTCCACAATGCATGCTCTCTACTCCAGGCTAACCGCAGGCGACAGTGAGTTGCAGTAAGTGGAACGCATCTGACAGGTCTACGAGCATATAGACCAATCTGCCCTAAGCGTCTGTACACGGTCTGCCTTGAAATTGTCGTACCAGTGGCTGAAGAGAGCTGACGAGACAGGTCTGAGGCTGTGCTCCGCCTGTTTCTTTTGGCAGGCCAAATACCCTCATTCGGCGTTGTAACTCTGGGGCGACCTGTGCTGTAACGTCTACTCACATTACCATCATCTTGGAATCGTTGCAAAAGCCTGGAGATGACACTCTGGGCAATTCCAAGTTCGTCTGATACTTCCAGTTGGGTACGCCCACATTCCAGACGGCCGATAATTCTACCACGTAAAAAATCATCCAAATGCGTCCTTTGTGTCATAACTATTCGGTTATTGCACTGAAATGCTTATAAAGCGCCTGCGAACAATTTTACTTCTTTGCCTGTATTCCTTATATATCACTCTCTTACACTCTCGTCATTGTGACGTACCATCGGTGTCATCTGGTTACTTCCTGAAATTTGCATATGATTCTTGAAGATGTGTGTAGTGATTTTACAGGTGATATATTTATTTTAGAGTTCGATTTCCGCGTGACTCCGAATTATCCTTAATTTATGGACATGAGTGTATATTGCACAGCAAAATCTAGAAAGGACTGTAAGAAGCGTGCTGTAAAATATAATAAATTCTGTAGGTTCATTTCTTTACACTTTTTAAAACTCTACACATCGAAAATGGTAGATATTTTGTAATTGTTTAATTTAGATAAAATATACAAGATTTTTTTTAGAGTTCTTCTAATGAAAGTACGAATATTATGCACTTTAATTAACATTATAAAAGTATCACATTACACTTTATTTCTCTATACTTGTATTATATTTGATATGTTAACATACATAATGTACATAATTTGTATATGGAAAATTAAGAAATATTGTAAATAGTTAATATACAAAATATATTTCATAAGTGCCTATATTTTTTGTTTTCGAAGTAAAATGAGTAGTGGTAATAAATCAAGCAATAAAAATCTGCTATAGAAAATGCAATTTTAAAGGAAACCTTCTTAAGGGGCCTTGTTTTTCCCAAAATGCTGTGAGTCCTGAAATTATCTAAAGTGACCCTGAATAAACAATTATCTGACCACCTAATTTCAGTTGCTTTTTGTTATAAGGGACTAAAGAAATACATTTTTGAGACGGTGAATTTCATTAAAAAGCATTGTACTATCATAATAAAATGTATCACTAATTTTTATTAAACTAGCCATTTGCGCATATAGACATTTAAAATAGCTATTATAGAAAGGAAAATATATATAATGCTTCTAACGAGTCTAGGCAGTTTACATTCCAGCTAGTACATATAAAAAAAATCATCAAATCTACAATAGTTGAAACGATTATTCGAATTGTAGCAAAATACGTGAGGGCTATCTGCCTAAAGCAAAGATGATTTCGTGGAGGACTTTCTTAGGAAAACTATTTCGTGAACACGTTACATTTAAAACCATGAAAACTCCTGTACCCAGACCGTTCGATGGGATTTAAACCTGGGACGAACTACCAGTGTTCGCGATTTGATCGGTTGGCGGCTGGTGGATCCTGCAATGGTTTATGAAAAATAGTTAATAATAATGTGGTTTATAGTCTTAGTTTTGATATTCAGTTCTGTGCATCCATTGTATATTCTAATTTGAACTTTCAGAAATTGATTTATTTTCAGATTTGGGAAGTCTAATCATGACGAAATATCCATTTTAGCTCCTCTGTATCAGTGTTGCTTCATTCATTTTTCGACATTCAGCCGCTTACTGGAAATTCATCATGGACCAGCAAAGTTGTCTACACTAATGAGATGTTCACTATACAAGGATCCTTTGAACCCTATTCTTCTTGAAAAGCACCTTCGAGCTTTAGACCGAAGGCTCGAAATAATTCTCAAAGTTTTAAGAGAATGTTTCCAGAATAATACACCAGAAGAAATATTTTACAGTGAAACTGTAGAAGTTTCAGTTGGCCTTTAAGTGGGGAAATATATGAATGAAAATAACCTTTTGATTAAAATAATGAATACTTGACTTATTTTGTCACAGCTATTATGTGTCTAAAAAAAGATCAAAATCATGTTCATCTGTAAATTATTCTGAAGTATTCAGGTATTTCTGAACAATTTCTGAGCAGTTCCACGTTCCCATCTTTCAACAAGTACAAATTAATAATAAATCATTGTTGTTATTATCATAAGCCAGTGGCATCAGTGTATGTATGAACTTCCAAAGGCCTAGTAACGAAAGGCAGAAAATTCAGATGTATTCATTCATCTCAACTGTTAATTTTTTAAAGTATATATAACTATTAATAAAATGAAACAAAGTTTTTAGGAAAATCCTAATGTTCTTATTTACATTACTATGCTTATTTCTTCACTGTATATGTAAGATGCTTTAAATTCGTAAGAGACCATCTCCAGTACTCATGAAAGAAATAATTTAATGCGGACTTGGCTCATTAAAAAAAATTGGAGAGGGTGTTGCGTTAACAGTAAATTCTCACATTACTATGCTTTACCATAGAATAAAATTGTTTATGGTAAATATTTTTCATACTATGCTTTACCATAAAAAAATTGTCAGAAAGAAATAGCATTTTCATGCGCTTTAGGTAACAGATATTGGAACATATAAATTTTCCTGTTACTAAAAAGTTTACGGATTTCCAAACGGGCACATTCACATTTGTAAAACCAGACTGCGACACAAATCTCCCTGGAATTTTACACCCTGCTGAAGTCACATTATCAGGTATCACATTATTAAAAAGGTAAATCGAGATCATTTAAAAAATTTTTAAACCGGCAAAAAATTACGTGATTACAATTAAAATAAAAGCTCAATCGACAATTCGGTTCTTTTGTTTTACTCTAAAGTAACAAAAAAAAGTACTGAATTAAGCCTGGTTATCTCAGCAAGTTTGAGGTTGAATATTTTGCTAAAATTGCATGATGGGCCAATAGCAGGCGATCTCGGAATAAGAAAAACGGAGTTGCAAGTTTGAGAATCTGTCTATCGTTCACAATTACAAAATTTTATTAATCAATACGTCAAGTTCTGTAACCATTTGCCAGTTAGTTTACGATGTTAGTCGCAGTCTGGCCTGGTATCTAAATAGCATAAAAGCTACTTTAACTAATAATAGGTTTAATAGGACCATACTCACGTAGTGAAAATAATAAAAATCTTCCACCACATGACTTTCTTGCACGAAATATTAAATTATACGCATTATTTATTGCATTTCGTTTAAACTTATTGAATTGAATCAAATCTACTTCGCCGACAGCACATATACCACAATATAATAAAGCACATATATCACGATAGAATAAATGCACTCTTTAAAATTTACTGTATTTATTTATTATAGCGACACTCTGGCGCTAGTTTCACTTAACAGCGTTACATCTCATTAATTTTTTTACTCAGAATGCGCAAAAATTATATCATCTGAAGAATTACGTAGTCGCTGCCACATGTTCTATCCAAATACTACAATAAATCTAAAACGATGTATAAAAGAAATTAGACAAATAAAAAAGAAACAGTTATTTTTGCGAAGCTTACATTCTTTAGATTGGCAACAAATTCACTATTTTGCTAACTTTCAAATGTAAACCAATATGGCTGCTATAGTAAAAAATTATGCTTAACCGCACTTAAACAACTTTTAAATTGTTGATAATTCTGCAAATATTACAAGCAAGTTAACTAAAAGCATAAAAACCTTAACTGGAAGATAAGAAGAACATAATTAAATCATTTTTAAAGCAAAAAATTCACAATTTACCAACACATAAGAATAAAAAAAGCTGAGCTCACGGAGCCGAGTAACAGAGTGGGTATATTATATATATATTTATTTCTTTGGTTGCGGCTGATTGCCTCAAACTGCATCCTATAGCTGTCCTATATACAAAATTTCAAGGTTCTGAGGCTACTCGTTGTTGAGTTATGCGAGACACACGCACGTACGTACAGACGCCACGAAAAAATCTCTTCTGAATCCATTTTAAATCAGTTTTATAATTTTTGCGGAGAAAAAGAGTCCTTTATTCTGTTCATACTTACAGATGTCACCCCAAAAACATCGTTAAATTACATTTGATAGCGGTCAAAATGGAGATTTTCGTTGAAATATGGTATCTGGAATTTTTTGTGATTACAGTACGTTTACTTCGTACAAGGAAGTAAAAATAGATATTTGCTGTTAATCGCGGATCTTTTTCGAAGTTGGTAAAAATAGTTCCCCTCAAAAGAGCTTTCGCTAAAATTGTTTCAGATTTTTTTTATAAATACTTTAAATGACAGGAGGCCCATTAAAAGTAATTTCAAACAACGGAAAACAGTTTGTTTGGCCAGACATTGAGAATTTATATTCCTGATTTGGCATGTAGAATTTCAAACTGGTTCCGTATCTTCCGCAATCAAATATTACTGAATAGATGAATAGCAGTGTAGTTAAAATCATTCGCAACTACGTAAAATATTATCATAAACCCCTGAGATAGCTATTTGAATGAAGTTGAGGACAATCAAACATGATACTACCGAGAAGACACAAACTGAATTTTTTCCTGGCAGATAGTTAATTACGTCCCCAGATGAACTTTTTCTGTTCAATAGTCATCTATGGAATTTAAGATTACAGGCATCCAAAAACTACTGCACGAGGAAAGCCGAACTTCGTATATGGCCAGAGCGAAAAAAAAAAAAAAAAAAAAAAGTTTTGTTGTGATAAGAAAAGGCGGGAATTTGATTTTAAGGTGGGAGCTAAATTCTTGAAAATTAAGCATTCTGTTTCATGGCACCGGAATAAAAGGTGGAGAAGTTTTTAATAAGTTCGAAGGCCCATTTTGATTGAGCTTATAAGGGAAACAGTAATTTATCTGAAAGGGCCAAACGGGAGAAATTATAAGCAAATGTAGCCTCATCAACGAATTTTCCTATGCCGTGAGAACAGCTAAACTTGATACTAATGAAACAACCCACATAGCACAAAAACATCCTTGGCATATCCCGAGGATGTTGCTCGCGGGATATGCGCACATCCTCAGAACATCCCGGAATATCCTGTAAACCTCCTAAACACCTCCTCAATGTGACATCTCCTCAAGTGCTTAATGTCACATCTTAGTACATCCTCAGGACATCCTAACTAATAAGTCCCATCGACAGCTTACGGGATGTTATTAGGATATGAACTCCTA